CCAAATGTATGTAAATACAAAAATACAGAACAACTTAGTCAAATCTGAGAATCATACAGTAAATAGTTCATTTGCAAAACATCAATCAATCGTCTCAAACTTCAATTGTTCCTTCGGTTTTACACCAATCATTCTTTGTTCTCGTTATTTTCTTTTCTATCCTCTTAATCTTCTTCCTCCAGACATTTCACTTTCAATTGATAATACATACTACTTTTGTCTGTCGACATCAGCAGCACACAACATATTCTTCCCCCTTTCAAAACAGTCGTTCTTGCAGTGGTTCTGCTCGCCGTACAACTTTCTTTTTCTCCTCAACCCGTGACACGCTCTCCGTCAAAATGTCGAGTCTGAGGTGCACTGACCTCCATAGCTCCGTTGACCCGCCAGGCCATCGAAATGCGATGTTCAACCGCAACTGTGACGTCCTATGCTTACGGTCCGGCGACCTACTAAGTCATCTGTAATTGATGTCCGCCCGGCAGACGCAAGTCCCACTGCTCCTCTTCGCCGACAACACCCGCTAAAGCCAACGCCGCCCCATCAGAACACTCCACTCGACGTCACTCCACCTCACAGACCTCCCCAACTAGCACAGTGTTGATGAATATAAAGTACCTTCAAAAAGTGATCTATTTGATATCATATACTTCAAATGCCTTGGTATGGTTGAGGGTGGGGAGAAATAACTCTCCCTCTCCAAATGCTCTCACATGGCCACGTGCACATAACCACTGACAGGGAAGTCCAACTCAATGCTTACTCGTGGCACTACAGTTGTTTACGAAATTGAGAGGACGAAAAGCTATTATTCAGTGCTTTAACCCAGTTAGTGGATATGGAGAATGCACGTAGGGGAGTTGAAAAACCTTGATTCCAAACTAATGGTGCACATAGGCTCCAGGATCGTAAACCCACAAACGGTGCTGAACCAATTGTTTGGTCACCGGCTACCATGGAACTGCATCTCCAAATGTTGCTTTTCGGATCAGACCTTTTGGTCAAATGCTCTGGGTGTGGCCCTCCTAAGAAAACCACCTGTTTAGGTCTGAGCGCCGGGGCAGTATCACAGCCTACACATGAATAAAGTGACTTGTGTGGCGCATATGTATTCGGTGCCCCTTTTTACCACTATTTATGTGTTCAAATAAATAATAAATAAACAAACCAATAGTGTTGATGTGTAATTTAAGTCGATCCACGATATTGCTAAACCATGCTTGTCATGAATATTTATTGACTGTGCTGAATGAGATATATTAAAGTTTACTTAAACATCACCTGCTTAAACTGACAACGCTGGCTGATGTAAGTTTGAATAAAGTTAGATGTGTTCATACTGAGGTATGAGATCGTTTCATGAAATCATTGACTCTTGGTCTGAGCTATTTCGATAGACTCGGACTATGTTATTGAGATCAACATAATAACTACTATTAGTAACTGTAGACAGGAGTTTCATGCCGTAGGATCGGTCACATTCATCCTTGGTCCTTCCTTAGACTTAGAACTACAGTATTTCTTAATACGTACCTTTTTGATTCTGTCTTTTCATATTAATGACCTAATTGTTTGTTATTAGAGAAATATATGTAAAAGAGTAAACAATGGGAAAATTAATTCAAGTTCGAAGAATCTACATGTGTATGTGTTCGTGTGTGTTTGTGTGTGTGTTTAACTTAAAGAAAAATAACTTGGTGATAGCGTAGAAAGGAAAAACAATCATAATTAGTTGTTGACACATTTTTTTGTTTTTTTTAAATAAAATAAATGTTTCCCATGGTAACTAAACGATATTATTGATTATTTATTAAGATTTTAGTTCATTTTTGCATAGTAAGGTAACATGATACAAAAAGTAACGATAAATAAATATTACGATGAATACAACAGTTTACGAACCAATGAGCCGATATTTAATAATTCGATTTTTATCAGTATAGGGTTGTGGAGATCATTGAGTTTTAATTGATATAATGAATAAATCAATGTTGGACCACCTATGAGAACCCGGAAGTACTGGAAGGCCGTTACGCCCTAGTATGAGAATCCTCGGTGGTGTACATCCATGATTCCACACCAGAGGGACTCGAGCCCAGTACCTTTGGTTTCGTGCGCGAACGCTTAACCTCTAGACCGCTGAGCTGTGAACAGTGGAGTTCAATCCGTATCGGATAGAGCCAGGTATCTACCTCAGTCAACTGATGAAGGGTTGCACAAGATCATGGATCGACTGAAGTCAGACGCTAACACCGTTGGATGCCGGCACGTTTAGTGGTCTAGAAGTTAAGTGTCCGCACGCGGGTTCGAGTCCCTTTAGTGTGGGACCGTCGATACGTCCACAATTATCTTCAGTGAGTTACTATCTCACCATAGACCCGGTTGAACTCTACTGGTCACTGCTTCGCACGAGACCGTTACGTCCTGGGTTCGAATCTCGCGAGGTAAGGTCGGGGCTGCTCACTCCTGAAGAGTTCCACAATAGAACGAAACGGCCGTCCAGTAATTTCCGGTTTTCCATGGTTGTCTGTCTTCAGTTAACTCATGATCTCAAGTATTAAAAATCAAGTAGATTTCATTTATCAAAGATTTTCTACTGATTCGTACAACTTAACTAACTTTTCACTCTTACTACATTCATTATTAGATAATAATGGTTAAATAGACTAGTTAGCATTATTTTTTGTTGTTGAGATCATGAACCGATTGATGTTAGACCACCTTTGAAAACCTGGAAGCAATGGATGGCCACTTCGTCCTATTGTGGGGCTCTTCAGCAGTGTGCATTCACGACTCCTCCCCGCGAGATTCCAACCTGTGACCTATCAGTCTCGTGCGCGAACGCTTAACCTCTAGACAACTGAACCGGTCGGTATCCAACGGTGATAATGTCTAACTTCAACCAATCCATAAAACTGAGCCGCCGTCCATCACTGTCTTTAGTAAGTTACTATTTCACAACAGACGTGGTTGAACTCCATTGGTCACTGCTTCTCACGAGACCGATAAGTCCTCAGTTCAAATTTCATTAATTCATACAACTTAACTAACTTTTCACTCTTACTCTATTCATTATAAGATAATATTGGTTAAAGAGACTAGTTATTATTATTAGTAGTAGTAATAGTATTATTAGTAGTAATAGTAGTTGTAGTAGTATAAGTAGTATTGATAGTTTGATTATATTGTTCTTAAGATTGACAAATTGAGTTCATTTTGTTTTGTTCACCTTGAGAACATGAAGAAAACAAAAACAAAAAAAAAGAAACGAAGGAATAGGCAAGTGACAGTTTAATGAAGTGATGTTATACAAGAACCATTTAATATAGTACTATATAGTTAATCATAAGTATTAACAATCATGTACCTACTTGCTGAAAGAGAAAACTATTGTGTATCTATATATGTATGTATGTGTGTGTATTATAGAGAATGATTGAATGATAGTGACTATTTCAGGTTCATTACATTGTACTTCTGTTAAATAAACTTGGTATTTGAATAGATAGTATAGAATATTCACAGAAAATTAGGGTATATCAATTCAAGTGTGGTTATTATTATCATTATCATTATTCATACTATCACAAGTCAATCAGAAACTTACAAGTACATTGATTGATTCATGTATTGAATGTTATACACGTGAGAATTTTCTTGATAGTTCGTTGTATGCATTTAAGATAATGGTTGAAGGTAGTTAACAGGATACCCTGCTCAATTTAAATTTTGAGCTATTTAAGACTTGTCGGTAAAGTGTATCTGTAATCTAAAGAGAATGGATGCTTTCTGGTGGATTTGATCCTGTTTCATCCTATTTGACAGTTAAAGATGTTAACATTGAGTTATTCAGGTCGTGACTGACTTTCTGTAGGAGTGAGATCTATTTTACAACTGAGTAATCACTAAATAGTAATCGATGTGATGTCTATCAAACCTCTTATTAGTGCTGATCGAATCCTGCCGATAAAGTTGCAATGTGACCCCATTACTCTAGGTAACTTGACATTAGTTGAGCTATGTTGAGATGTAAGGTGGTCAGTGGAGGCAGATGATAGGAAACTCTGGATCTAGATTCAGACCTAGATTAGTGCCTACATTGCAACTTGATCGATAGAATCAGATCAGCGCTATATATATGACATTGCTTGCCACCCAGCGATTAATCAGTTGTAAAAAATATATTAAAAACTGTTTCGATTAATAATTTGTTTTAGTCGATCACTGCACACGATTGATCGCTATCGGGATATGTGTATTCTGAGTAGATTTCCATGATATTCGCCATTGATTAGAAGTTTAAGTAGAATTACATAATTTCTTAGCCGTTGAATAAGTTATTAGTAATTTTGACTCCGTAACTCAGTGGATAACGTCTTTATGTTCCAAGTTAAAGGGTCAGAGTGTTAACATCACTTATACTGAATTTACTAAATTTACTTACTTATGCCTGTTAATCTTCGTGGAGTAGCATACGACTCTCACCAGCATTCTACATCCAACCTTGTTCTGGACAATCCTTTCCAGTTGCTATTCATTCTTTTTATATTTCCAAATCCAATTCCCAACATAATGTGTTCTTTAGCCTTACTCTTTTCCGATTTCTCTCAGTATTCCAAGTTAGGGTTCGCCTCATGATGCAGTTTGATGATTTCCATAATGCATGTCTCACCCACTTACAATGACATTTCCTAGTCACCTCTTCATGTGGAAGCAGGTTTGTCCTCTCTCACAGAAGGCTGTTGCTGATATGCAGCCAACGGATATTGAGTATCTTACGTAAACAACTATTGATAAATATATGTACCTATTTGATACTGGTTGTAGTACTTCGCCAAGTTTCAATTCCATACAGTAAAACTGTCTTGACGTTCACATTACAAATTCTGACTTTGATATTGATTGTATATATTATTCATTCAATTGAAATAATGTCTAATTGAATCTATTCTCAAACAATCATCAATGATTTCCCTTTTTTTAATTATTATTTATATTAGGTACGTGAACTATTATCACAATGTACTTGTAAACAAACATTCCCTATGGTTCGTATTGGTGAAGGACGTTATTTATTTGGTGATAAAGGTACACAAATATTTGTTCGAGTAAGTAATATACAGTTATCTTATTTGCACTATTCTCTTTTGTTTTTACATTCTCGTATTTACTTTATAAGTTAAAAAGAAAGCAAGATATCCATCTACCAACCAAAGGGCATGTTTACTGCGCAGCAGTTCGCTCCGTCCTACTTTATGGCGATGAAACATGGCCGGTAAGAGTAGAGGATATTTGTAGGTTACTAGTATTCGATCAAAAGTTTCTTCGAAGCATTGTTCGTTTATCCTGGGACAACCGAGTAAGTAATACAGTTGTTAGGAAACGGGTACTAAGTAAGGATGGAAAATCAATTGATGAAGTAGTGAAACTTCATCAGTTGAAATGGCTGCGATATGTGTTACGTATTCCCAACCACTGACTGCCCCGATGAAAGATGATTTATGGTGTGAGAGTAGGTTGGAAGAAAGCTAGAGGCGGCCAGACCAAAACATGGCACAAGTCCATGAAGCCACTGACAAGTGGTTTGAGTCATGTTGGTAGGTGTAGACTACCTGGTTGAGATCCGCGAGACGATAGCAACCTATGGTTAAAGACCTTGAGTGATATGATTCAAATAGTTTGCAATAGTGTGCACAGGTGCATCCACTTTTTGTGTTCTCCCAAATCCTAATCTTCTGAATTATTCGTATCCATTTTTTTCGCTTTCCAAATTTATTTCACTAAATTATACTCCGTGAATAACATTTTCAACCTCTAATGTTTCCTATTACTGCTTAAATTCTTACTACCTCTATCACTATGGGCTTTGAATTGACAACTGCATCTCTGTGGTAATGTGATATGGCAGCTCGAACTGATGTACGTACGTACGAAGTTCTAGGTTGTTGACTGACTGATTTACTTTATATTCAGTTGTAGAAATTCTTCAGATGTTTCCAAAATCAATAAAAATCGATTAAGAGTGAAGAGAGAATAACAAATTGTACTGGTTGTCCACCTGTAGCTCTTCTAAAGTTACTGCTAGTCCCAATCCCATGTAAAGAAAAAGGGTTGAGGATGGAATCGACAACCACATCCCGTAGAAAATAATCTTGCTAACAAAACACTAACATGAATAAACTGGGTGTTTGAATTAGCTTGCAATTGATCAATTTCTTCTAGCATATGTTCACTCTGTTCAGATTTCTTTTGATATTGCCATTAAGTTACAATTATTATGGCCAGAGATAAGTGATGGCTAACATTAGAATCCAGTGCAAACAATCCAATACAAATGAATTGTACTTCACCCCCTTACATAACTCAGTGGCTATCTGAACTTGGTAGCTAAGTGCATAAAGTGATGACGCTTGAAGCGAACGGTACTAGATTAGAATACCAACCATGAAATGTAGATATATCCAGCTGACGTTTTTCAAGTAGAACGAAATGAACGTGCTAGATCCCACTGCTAGACACCATCCATCTCTGCTTAATGTGATTTTATTTCACAAACAAGGAAAATTACGCTAAAAGGGGTGGCCAAACTAGAATGTGACATCAGTCCATAAAGTCATTAACTTTTAGTCTGAGCCATATCGGTAGATGCATACTAATTGGTTTGGATCGTAACCAATGGTTGGAGACTCTGTGTGACATGGCTCAGAATGGACCACAATGGCGTAGATGTGTACACTCTCTGTCTACCTTCAAACTATGAGATTAAAATTGCTTCATATCTTTCTTTCTACGAACTAATTCTTTCATCCTGTATTATATCCTTATATGCAATCTTTCTTTTATACATTGCCATCACTGAATTAACTACTTCTATGAATTTGTTATTCATTTTGTTGTGCTAATGAGGTATGACAATTTGAACCGATGCACATAAGTGCCTGATCAGTCCTACGTTGTAACTCACTGACTGACTGACTGATTACACTAAAAACAATGGATAAATATCTACAAAACATGTCATCATGCTATTTAGTGAATGAATCAGTTGTAATTTGTATGCTTGTTTCTTCAAAATAATTCATTATAATAGACATAATTGATGATAATGATCATAATAATAATGAAAGCACTATGAAAACAAACAAACAATAGTACACAATTATTTCATATTAATTAGAATTCATTTGAATTGCAAATGAGTCTAACTGATTAGTTTGATTACAAGTAAATTGTATCATTTGTTATGAAGGATTGATTGCTTTATGTATTCATTGTTAAATATAATTTAAATAATTGAGATCATATAAGTCAGTTGAAGTTAGAACACCATGGAAAACCTAGAAGCACTGGATGGCCGTCTTGTCCCAGTATGGGACTCCTCAACAACGTTCATCCACTGTCCCACTTTGTGAGATTTGAACTCGGGACTTTTTAATTGTGAAATTCGAACCGATAGGTCTTAGGCAGAGATGGATAGTGGCTAGCAGTGGAATCCAGGACGCGCGTTTCGTCCTGTCTGAGACTCGTCAGCTGGATGTACCTGCATCTCAGAGTTGATGTTCACTCTGAGACTCGAACTCAGTACCGTTCGCTTCAAACGCCATCGCGTTATCCACTTAGCTACTGAGTCCTGGGAAGATTCAAATAAAACAAAATCGATAGGTCTTAGGTTCGTATCCCGCGAGGTGGGATCGTGGATGCGTACTACGAAAGTAGCACAATAGAATGAAACAGCCGTCTAGTGCTTCCAGGTTTTCCATGGTGTCTAGCTTCAATTGACCCATGATCTGAACTATTGAAAGTACTATAATATACAAAAAAACCCTTCAAATACAATTTAATCAAGTGAAATGATTTAGATTTCTTTTTTTAAAGAAATTCATACTTTTAACTAATTTTCAATAATCTAAAATGTAATTATAAGTATAGGGTTGTGAAGGCTGTTAGGTTTTTGTTTCAGATGATGAATCGATCAATGTTGGACCACAACTGATTACCTAGATGCACTGGATAACCGTTTTGTCCTAGCATGGAACTCCTCAACAGTACGTATCTACAATTCTAGTCGTGCGATTCGAACCCAGGTTTTCTCACTCTCGCACACGAATCCAAAGTGCAAGATCGTGAATGCATACTATTGATGAGTCACATATTAGGATGAAATGGCCGTTCGCTGCTTCCAGATTTTCAATGGTGGTCTAACATCAATCGATTCATAATCCCAATCTAAAATGTAATTATTGGATATATGTTTACTGATGTTACACTAGTTCAAATGATTTGATAAAATAATTAACTTGGAATAAATTTTTTGAACTGATAATTTTCCTTATAAAATCAATGACTTGAAGTATTAGCTAGATAGATTCGCAGAAATGGAGTAATCGGTCACTTAGTTGGACAGAATCATATCACTGTATGTTAATGAATCAAAATTGATTTCTATACTGAAAATATGGAAGTAAAAGAATTTAGTACATGAAGATAAGTAAGCAATTGATGAGTAATGAAATCATTGGTAAAAAAAACACCCTTCTCTTCTACTGTTGACCTCATCATCACCATTCATCACATCTGAATAGATCTATAACAATACGAGGATTAATACTGAATAAATGTTCTATTCATATTTATACTACTTTAAATAATTTAAGTAGTTATATTGAATTGGTTAATTTTCATTTTTTAATTCAGTAATATACTCTTAGTAGCAAGAATATGTAGTCAAATGATATATTATTCATTCTGCTGGGAATAGTTTCTAAAATGTTCTACATCAGATATGCACCATAAAAGTCATTTGATTTGTTTGCGGGCTATGATACTGCCCGGGTTTTCAAACCGAAGCAGGTGGTTTTTTCTAGGGGGCCTCACCCAGAGCCTTCAACCTAAAGCTCTAATCCACAAGGCAGTGGAGCAACGTTAGGAGATGCAATCCCATGGTAACCGGTAACCAATAATCAGTGAATACGCCATTTGTTTCCTCAGGATCTTGGAGGCTATGTGCACCAATGATTTTAATTCAAGATTTTCCAACTCCTCTACGTGAATCCTCTGTATCCATCATCCCGGTTAAAGCGCCGGACATTCGAATTTCGTCCTCTCAATTTCGTAAATAACTTCCGTGGTATGAGAAGGCAGTGAGTAGGACTTCCTTGTCAGTGGTTGTATACACATGTTCATTTGAGAGCAGTTGAAGAGAGAGAGAGCTAACTCTCATCACGCTCGACCGTACTAGGGCATTTGGAGGGTTGGTGATTTGTGGAAAAATCTGTTTCTAAAATGATTGACATATTTCCAGAATTTTAATAACGTTAAAGTTAGTTTTCAATCTAAACAAATATCATCAATATGAAGTTGCGAAAGATTGTTGAATTTCACTAACTCCATGAATGGATCAATGTTAGATCACCATTGAAAACCGAAAGCGCTAGACAAGAGTTTCATAATAATATCCGATTGAATGATAAAAAAATGTTTTAACAACAAGTCAACACATCACTTAACGATTGTCAAATAGATGGTAACACACATCTTATAATTTGCTACTGGTTACTATCGAATATATGATTCTTAATTTAAGAAAATGATAATTATGTTTTAGAAATTTTCATTGTTACCAAATTGGTGACATAATTACGATTTTCTTTTATTCTTTGAACTATTGTTTAAACAACAGATATGAATCATTAATATCCGTTAAGCACTTTGTTTCAGTGGTTGAGATCATGAATCAGTTGAAGCCAGATCACCATGGAAAACCTGGAAGCACTGGATGGCCGTTTCGTCTTATTGTGAAACTCCTCAGCAGTGCGCATCCGCGAGATTCGAACCCAGGACATATCAGTCTTGTGCACAAACGCTTAACCACTGGACCACTGAGCCGGCATCCAGGTTTTCCACGGGGGGCTAATTTCAACTGATTCATGATCTCAACCACTGAAATTGCTATGATATCCACAAAACCCCTTCTGCGACTAAACATCATATGCATAATGGTGACTGGTTTCAAGAGGTATTTCCTGGAGTTCTAGTGAAAAGCAGTAATCAGTGCAGTTCAACTGGGTTTGTTGTGTGATACTAACTCACTGAAGACAATGATGGATGTGTCGCTCAATTTTGTGGATTAGTTTAAGTAAGACAACAACACCGTTCGATGCCGGCAAATTCAGTAGTCATTTAAATCCGTTAAGCACTTTGTATAAAAATCATAGATGGTTTCTTATCCCTAAGAATGTGGTATGGGCCACTCATATCGACAGATATAAGTAGTATGCATCATCAATCGAAAGTGAAATGCCTGGCGGCAGAAGGTTAAGAAGATCAATGACGAAATGAGAACAAGAACAGAGAATGATTAGTGTAGAAACAAAAAAACAATGAAGTATTCACTTTATGCTTCTCAGATTTTACTAAGCAATTCTACAATTTTGTACTCAAATATATTCAATTGTTGCCACCGAGTTTTTGTTCACTACAAGAATGTGTATGTGTGGGTTGGGTGGGGGTGTAGTAATCATTATATTGAAATTCCATTGTGTTCATTAAATTCGGTTACTTCAATACATCTAATGTCATTTTGACTTATCAAGTGAATGAATGAAATATAAATTAATAATACACATACAGTGAGTATACGTTTGACAACCAATTCAATGATCTATATTACCTAATTGACTATAGGTTTATAAGTATACTGATAAGAATTTGAGTACAATTAAATTTCTCATTGAATCATTGTATATATGAGGTAACATGGTCATTACTAATCTGATTTAAGTATATCTGATCAAACATTTTGTTTTTTACTGATCATCAATTATAATTGTCATGATCATGCTGTGAACTACTAATAGGTCATGTAAATCAAAGTATACTACATCTACTACTACTCCTCCTCCTCCTACTCCTACTACTACCAATATCACTACTTGTAATTGTTGAAAGAAATGACGTATCTTCTTTTTTACTCACTTCTAATGAACCTCTTATGATGAAGTTTTGATTTTCAACGGTGATTATATAGATTACAATTTCAATATGATTCTATATGTCATTAAATATATGAACATACATACATGCTTCGCTTTCAGTACATGCCAAATAGTTGCTCAATAAAAATTATCTGGAAATACTTATACTGTTTAAATAAAATTAAGTAGTTTAAATTTTCACTTGAAAAAGTGTCCATTTAATCGGGAGGGGATTTTGTGAAGATTTTAGTAATTTAATGGTTAAATTCATGGCCATTTCCTTCCTCATATGGGAATCCTCAGTAGTGAGCATCCACTATCTCGCACCTTGAAATTTAAATGGATTTGGATATGACTATTACTATGATTATAACAAAGTTTCAAGTTTTGATCTGTTTGTTCAAGTTATATGGAAGAACAGTAAGTGTAATGAAATGAAAAGAGTCAAAATTGTTTTATGAGTAAACATGAATTGATACCTATCTAAACACTTTAGAAAAATGTATGAATTGATTATTCTGTAGATTAGCATGGCTTAATTCACTATATCGACTTTTATACATAAATTTATGTCTTATTCATCATGAGTTCTTAATGAGGTTCATTCCCTCCATGGCAAACGTTGGGTACATGACGGACATTTAAAATGTTACGTAACATAATTTGAATTTGTTTCGACGTGTTGTACCTTTTCAAATAGACCTGTTTTATTGTTTTAATTTAGATACTGAGAAATCATGTGATGGTTCGAGTCGGTGGTGGCTGGGATACACTGAGTCATTTCTTATCGAAATACGATGAATGTCGTAAAGTTAATCCATGTAAGAATGCTTTCAATTCAGTTTTGAAGTTTTGCAAAGCTTTACTTGTTGGTATCAAACTATTTTACATTTCGTATGTTATTAGATCATAGTTTAAGGAGGTAGGGTTAGTAATAGTAATTATATGTTTATTAATTGAGATTAGTGTGTTCACTTAGCCTGAGTTTATGTCATCAATCCTACCGATAACAAAGTATGATAATGTTGCGTGAAGAACTATGGTAACTTCGATTTTTTTGACGACGGTCATTAGATTCGGTTACCGCTTACGTACTTACTTAGGCCTGTTACCCTCAATGAAGCATAGGCCACCGACCATCATTCTCCAACCAACTTTGTCCTTGGCCTTTCTTCCTAGTTCTATCCAATGTTGTTCATTCTTCTCATGTCTATCTCAATTTATCGGCGTATTGTGTTCTTTAGTCTTCTTCCTCTACTTCTTTGGCCTTGAGGATTACTAGTGATGAGGACTTGCCTTGTGACGCAGTTGTGTGCTTTCCTCAATGTGTGTCTTATCCACTTCCAGCGCTTCTCCCTGATTTCTTACTCCACTACTTTGTTCTGGTTTGTTCTCTCCCACAGTAGGTTGTGCTGATAGTGTAGTGTCTGGCCAAAAGATCCGAAGTATTTTGCATAGACAACTGTCAACGAACACTTGTATGTTGTGGATGATTGTTTTCGTAGTTCTCTAAGTTTCCGCCCCATACAGCAGAACTGTCTTCACATTTGTATTGAAACTCGTGACTTTGGTGTTGGTTGACAGATAGTTGTTTTGAGTTCCAGATATTCTTCAATTGTACATATACTGTTCTTGCTTTGCTTATTCTTGCATTCACATCTGTATCAGATCCACCGTGTTCAGGTTCTCAGGTATTGTATAATTCACTAAAAGATGAGAAAGTCGTTAATAAAACTATATACAGGCATATATTAAGTAATAAAGATTGATATGTTTGTATCTTAATTAGTAGAAAACTGATGTTTGTTTCTTTGTTGACCTTTTTGTGTTTTTGGTTAGTTGGTTCTTAAGAAGGTAAATAAGTGTAGGGATTTAGAGAGATATTATCAACCAAGAGATCATTAAAAACTTCGGGGATACTAAATAGATAGTTACTTGTAGTTGGGGATTGATTAGACCTTACAATGGGATCAATCTCTAAGCCACCATCTTTTCGCGTTTCTCGCAGAGTATGTGTTATATCTAGAGCCTCGTTTCTTATTGTACTACGTGTAACTTGAACACTTGAACGTTAGAATCCTTCCAAGCGGCAATAAGAAGACAGAAGACTAATGAAAGGAATGTTATTCCAGACAGTGCCAAATTATAGTACAAAAACTGTCGGGTATTTATAGTTTTTAGTGAAAACGAAATCATCGCTATAGCTATGCAATTCACACACAGGTTGTGATTCGCATTTCTACAATAGGGAAGCTACATGTAGAAATTCTGGAATATTCTTCTGAAAAATAGTTGGATGGGATGTCTTCGGTTCTTTCTGAAATCCTTAAAGCATCTTCGAGTTTATCCGTGTATGGTCCCCACAGTATGATAAATTTAGGCTGTTGAACTGAACTCCTATAGTCTAGATTAACTACTTCAATCGACTCTCAATAATATACAGAAAGTAAAGAGATTTCTCATTGTGAAGTAAAATTATTTGAAGAACTAGTAAAATCTAACAAACACTGAATATGTATTATCGTTCTAGATTACGATTTCCAAGTGTGTCAACCTATAACTATACACAGTATTATTTCTGCAGCAATTTCGAAACCCCCCCCGGTCTCCCACATTGTACGAGCATTCCATGTACCTAAATTAATGGTTGATCTGGTTTTTATAAGGGGTATCAGCCTGGTGACTTTCGAAGGAACTCGGCTTTTACTTTGAGGTGTCATAACTCTTCTAATTGAAGATCTTCTAAATCTCAAAGCAGAGCTTAAATGGTTCGAATTACTTTTTCTGATGGGCGTTATTTTAGCGAGTTATTTTTCTATGGGATGTGGTCGCTATCCCCATACCCAAACCTCCCCCTTTATCGGGGCTTGGTACCAGCTGTAACCTAAGAGGGGCTCTAGGCGGAGTTATATACTGTATTAACCTCAAGAAATTTGAGGTGTTTGACAAATATGACACCATTCAGTCTTTGAATTGATCTCAAATGATTCGCAGTCTGCATATATAGGATGTGGCATCACATTAGAATCAGGAAGTTAACGATACGTGATTACATGGGCATGATGAATGTTAACTTGGTGATTTAATATCATGAATACAATTTTAATTTTTGATTGAGATCATGAAGCGATGAATGTTGAACCACCATTGAAAACCTGGGAACACCGGACGGTTGTTTTGTCCTAGTATGAGACTCTTGAAGAGTGTGTATTCACGATTTCGGAACGCTTGATGTTAGACAATAACAAGTGGTACGTATGCCCAACCACAGATTACTACGACGCGCAATTCTGACCAGTGTTGGAGTTGGTTGGAGGAAAGTTAGAAGAAGCCAAAGCAAAACATTGTATTATTCATTGAAGTCACTATTTTCTTATCTGTGCCATGTTAGTAGATGCAGACTACTTGGTTGCGGTCCGTGTCACTATCGTTACCAATGGTTGGAGACTCTGTGTGACATGGCTCAGAATTGATCACAATGGCATCGGTGTATACACACGTTGTCTTCGCTTAAACTATGAGATGAGAATTACTTTATATATTTCTTCATAATTCTTTCTTTTATATATTACTATCATTGAAGTAACTACTTCTCCGAATTTGGTGTTGATCTTGTTGTGCTAATGAGATATGTGAACTTGGACCGATGTACATAAGTTCCTGGTCCTACGTCATAGCTGACTGACTGAGCTACTAACACCGGATCTGTGGTCTTAAAGTTGAACGTTCACATGCATAACCAAAAGTTCTAAGTCTGAATCCCATGCGCGAACTCATCAATCCTCACTGTGCTGAAATCGCATACTAGAACAAAACAACTAACTATCCAATACTTTCAGATCTAACATTCATCAATTAATGATCTGAATCCAAGAAATACTTAACATCACTAAAACGTATTTTTTCCAATTTCTTTCTTTCTTTGATTATAGTAGGATCATGTAAATTAAATTCAATGAATCAAAATTCCAAATTGAATGAAGATAAAATTCAAAACATGGTAGAATGTAAATTGAATGTTGTAAAAAAACGTACATCATCTGTAACTAAAGAGAAACAATCACATAGAGATAATGATCACCATAATGATGATAATGATAGTTCTAATGGCAAAGTACAATTGAATCATAAAATTGATTCAGAATTAATGAAATCAATGAAAAATATAAATGAAAATCAAATTCATCTAAAAAAATCTTTAGAAGAAACAAATTGTCTTACTAAATCACAAGTAAGTAGTATAAAAATATTCGATAAATATTTCTAACATGATTCAATTGAAGTTTGACTATAATGGGAAATCTGGATAGCCGTTTCATTGTATTGTAGGGCTCCTCAGCAATGTGCATCTATGATCCCGCGTCGGGGGATTCGAACTCAGGACTTATGGGTTCCCATACGCGAAGGCTTAAACGCTAGATTACTGAACCTACCGGTTCCCAACGATGTTAATTTCTAACTTCAACTAATCCACGAAATTGAGCGATACATCCACTAGTGTTTTCAGCAAGTTAATATTTCACAACTGAACCGTTTCAACTCCATTGGTTACGGCTTATCACTAGAACTCCAGAAAATACCTCTTGAAACCAGTCACTATTGAGCATATGTTGATTAAAACTTAATAATAAATTGAATATTCGTCAAGATTATAGTTTACAGACGAAGCAATCAGATTTAGAATTAGAGGTCTTAGATTTTGATACGAAATCATCAAGCGAGGAAGATTGAAGATATATTTGATAGGCTATCAATATATCGTGAATCGACTGATCTAATCTGACTAGCGAATGCAGGGGATGCTGAGCACAACGTTCCCACTGGTGATCTGGTGCGGATGCATGGCCGAGCGTCTTCAGCTAGGTGAATCCATTAAAACTAATGTGGCCAGCATCCAATGTCGAAGAATTACAGAGCTATTGATGTTGAGGATTTATTTACCGCTACAGCAATGTACATATTTAAAGAGTCTTACATTTCAACGAACCATCAATTCTAATCTTCTTTGATTTTCATTGGTTCACTAAATGATAAATAATAAATGATTTAACAACTTACACGTATTTTCTCTTTTTTCTATTTTATAACAGTTTTTCTCTGAACTCAATTTAACTTCATTGAATAATGATAATGATGATGTTGATGACTTGAATTGTTCTACACATTTTCCACGATTTATTATCCCTGATCAATATATGAAAGATCCGACCAGTTTATCAACAGATGGTGAAGAAACTAGTTTCAAGGATAATCTTACAAAAGATTGGTCAAATGAAAGTTTCGATAAGACACAGTCATTACGTAATAGCATTACTACTATTAATACTACTACTGCTACCACTACTACTACTACTAATACCAATAGTAATAGTCATAATAACGATAGTAATAATGATTCTAAACAAGATCATAATAGTTTAATTAGAAAACCATTCAATACTACTGATAAACTACTTAAACAAAAATCAACTATTACTATCATACGAAATGAATTAGATAAATCTAATATGAAACCATATATTGTAAATAGACCATGTTTACCAAATAATCCTACTACTACAACTAGTAGTAGTACTACTTATTATATTAATAGTAGACATCATAATTCTATACAACATCAGAATCCAATAGACAATAGATTACATAATAATCAAAATTTATCCAAATCATTAAATTCATTAAATATAAATTGTAAACAATTAATTGATAGAAAGAATTCAAGACCAGTTGAAAGGATTTCAGTTTTGCCTATCATGAATGATACTACTATTAATAATAACAGTAGTAAAAGTAATAATAATAAATTTACTAGGAATAGTTATACTACTCATAATCATCGATTACAATCAATAAAAAGTCATCATGTAACAGAAAGAAAATCTACAATGCAACAATTGAAATCATCACCGTTACATCATAATAATCATCATCATCAGAGTAGAAACCAGCAAAATCAAAGTAGAAGTAAATCAGCTAATATGTTTAATCGTAAATTATCATCTACATCTACATCAGCGTCAGCAGCTGCAGCATCGTCGTCGTCATCATCATCATGTAAACAATTCAATCATCAATTAATCAATAAACCAGTACAAATTGTATATACATCAGAAGAGAATAAAAGACATCCAGATAATTATGTAATAGATGATCATTTACATCAATCGAATCATTCTAAACAGATTAATCCATTAATTTCTACAAATAGTAAATTAAGACATGGTTCATTAATACCTATATCAACAAGATCTTATTCAAGTTCTCGCATTCCATTGAAACAACATTAATTGATTATTATTATTATTATTATGATTGAAAGTGCCTCATTTTGTTTGTTTCTGATTAAAATCATAAATCAATTGATGTTAGATCATTCTTGAAAACCTGGAACCGTTGGATAACCATTGTGGACTCATCAGATAACGAAGAAACAGTCATTCAGCGCTTTCAGGTTTTCAATAGTGATCAATTGATTACTTGATTCATGATCTTAATCAATCTTTATAATTTTTGTTGTTGCTATGCCTATGTAATCTCTTTTCATATTGAGATTATTTTCTTCTCTTCTTTTTTGATAAAGGAGAACAGAAAACACTTTTTTTCACATTACATTATTCATTTATTATCAAGCATTCTGTGGTCAGATTTAAAGTCTTTCATTGAAAAGAAAAGCAAGACTAATTTGAAAATCATCTTTTTATCATCATGTCCCATCTCTTTTTTATTATCATGATGATACTACTATTAAACATTTTAAGTAGTATATTTGGTTATTACCGTTTTCGTTTCTGAAAAAACTCGTTTGCAGTGCTTTAATCAATCATATTACGACGATTCATAATGATTATCATATACTATACTATACTATATTGATAAGAGTTAGTTATATTGGTTTCACACATCTTCTATACAATCTATATGGTTACACATACACACAATGCAATATGAATTACTTGTGATCTAATTAATGAGTCAAGAAGTATGATAGATTGTTTGGTAGTTGGATTGATGACTTGATTTAAACTAGACCATCTGGAAGTAGTAGATAGTCATTTCGTTCTAGTATGGTATTCCTCAACAAGACGAAATAACCATCGAGTACTTTCATGTTTTTCATGATGGTCTAACTTCAATTGATTTATCAATTCACTTAGTAAACTTACTAATAATATTTACACAAAAAAAATCCTTCTCTGATTGATTTTTTACTTCCCACGTTTGTTTCTATGACAACGAATGATTGATTATTTAACTTAAAGTATGATCACACTTTCTTTGTTGTTGTTTATTTCACTCATTTTCTTTGTTTGTTTGTTTTTCTCTTTTTTTACAAGATTGTTATCGATTATTTCAATGATTCTCCTTTATTTTTTTGTTTTTTTCTTGTTCTTATTGTTTATTATCTTGAATTTCTGTTGGTTAGTGTTTTTATTTCTTTTATACGATCTCATTCTATTCTGTACTGTACTGTTTATGTTTTGTTTTATTTTTCATTTTATAAGTAAAACATTAGTATAGATGATATTGTTGATGATTCATTTGTGAATAGAGTTGAAGGATGATAACGTTTTGAATGATTAGTTTCATTTTTAAGACAGTGGTCTTGAGTGCTGTTATAGATATGAGGACGGCTATCACTTCACGGTTGCCCACACCGTGGAAGCGTTCTTCTGAAGGTACCTGAAAGAGAAATTGGATTAGGCGTGGTCTTAGTGACCTGAGAGCGTGACTACAATGCATCAGGAAGAACGGCTTAAAGTCAGTCATACACGACTTTTGTGTGAGTAGTTTTCGCGCTAGCTCGATACTTGTTGAGAACTTTCCACTGGAGATAAATATCTGTGGGATAAGGTGAGGTGTGCATTTTTAGGATCGACCATTTCTAATCCCACCACTACTTGTGGGAAGGCAGCATCGCTGCAAATGCTGGTTGTCTGTAGGAAACACCTTACTACTGTCACACCCCTTCACAGTCAACAGTACGACTTCGCTCTTGGACCTTAGGTTTGTTGCTCTTGGTCTTACAGTTCTTCAGCAGACCTGTCTGACATGGTAGAATCTTGAGGAACGATTGTTCCAGCCAGTATTGCTCTATTGGTTCATCACGATAGGCAAGTCCGATCACCACGTGAAGGTAGAAATAACTGTCGGGTTCCATTTGTAATGGCTATGGTAGTTCTATGGTTGATACTTCAATCGAATTCTAATCAGTTTCAGTTGACATGTATATCATCTTATATATGGACATTGTGTCAGAGGTTTCTATTATAAAGATAGAATGCGATTACCAATGTTGTCCAAGATGTGTGTTTTGTTGTATTTGAGACTTGTTAGTTGAATGTATCTGCATCATAAACAAAGCAAACTTAAATTCATATCTGATGCACGAGTGAGTGGTTATCTGGCATCGGTAACTAAGTGGATAACTCCGAGATGGAAGAACACTCCTTTGATGAGTTTAGAATGAGACGAAAATGGTCATTCTAGAACAAACTGTCAGTCACATTTTATTTATTGCATACAAGGTTCTGAGTACTGATATTCCTATATAAAAGTGGTGTAAAGGTATAAGTTGTCTCTATTTTGTAGGAAATTCATGGAGACTTGACTATTTAGTGCACCGTTAAATCAGGATTAAGTAGTTTGTCTAAGAAGCAGATCGAGATTCAACTGATCGAACAGTTCCGCTAATTGATCTGAACCTTTCGAAGCAAATAGTTAAAGACATTGGCTTCAAGTAAATCGAACAATCACAATTCCTGATGAGTTGTGTTAATCTGTAAATGTTCTTTCTGAATCACGACGCTTTCAATGATCATCAGTGTAAGCAAATAACAAGAAATTCAAGATGAACTTGACGGAGTTTTGTTCTCTGAGATGGATGGTTTGGTCTCAGAGCTTTCATCATTCTTCTGAACGACATTATCAGCAGCACAAACTTCGGGTAGAAGTGAAGTGTTCTACTCCAAAACTACTGATTTCCACTAGACGAAAACTTATATTCACGATCATATTTTCAGGATGTGTGAGTATTGAAAAAGTATCAAGGATATTCTATTAATTTCAATCGGTGACTGACCTCTTAAACTGACAAGCATTAGGGAGAATCAAGATCTAAACACCATTTATTTGATAAGTAAGTGGAAATAGTGAACTTTGTAGGTTTCGCGATGTTATGTGTTTACATAAGTAAATGGTGCGTGTAAGTGTAGACGTACATATAATTTGAAGATACCTTTAATCCTTAACCATCAGCTGATGAACTTCAGAAAATCGGAAGGCACTAGATAGCTCTTTCACCGTGACTCATGATCTCTCAGGAGTTTCAGCCTGGAAACCATTTAACGCATAAATAAAGATCTTTCGGCATAGTGACATAAATATTATCACTTAATTTCGGAAATATCATTCACTGGTATCAGTTTTTAAATTCTATCATTCAATGATTCAATATTATCTGAAGCCAACATCGTTCATAGTAAACGACCTGCATCTACACCTCAAAACAGGAAAGGAATGAAATATTGGTGAAACTATAATTTAAGCGCCACTGAAATGACCTTAAATGTGTCCACCTAATAACTGGGATCAAATGAGCGTTATAAACCAGTATGAGGGAATAGAATTATGATCTTCAGTTGATGATTAAGGATCCTGAAGGAACAAATACCATATGAATCAATCGTTGGTCACTGTCTACCATGGGATTGTATCTCCTGACGCCGCTGCATCGCTTTGTGGATTAGACATTTAAGTTGAAGTCTCCGTGTGTAGCCCCTCTAGAAAACCACCTGCTTCGGTATGGGCACTCAAGCAGTTTCCCAGCCCTCATATAAATCTAATGATTTATGTGGCACATATTTATTTGATGCCTTTAAATAAGATAGAATGAAAATGGAACATTCATTACCTAGTTTGTGCTCGTTTGACACTATCTAACACGCCCATAAATCACAAAGTGGAAAGAAACTTGTGGGCTTCATGTTTTGAGATAGTTTTGTAAGCAATTCAATCCATTGGTTCGAAGTAAAGTCTCTGGAGTTATTGAATTTAATGAATTACTGTTGAGTAATCTTTTCATCCACTATGATTGGTGCTTAGATTTTCATAAGAAGATCAGGACAAAACCAGCGATAATCAAGTTTCAACGGGTTCCTAACTGATGATAGCTCCTTGAAAAGACTATTCACATATAGGACAGAAAACACTTTCTTCGAAATGACATTATTAAGTTTGTGATATATATTTATTGCCGTTACCAGTGGAGTTCAACCAGGTCTGTTGTGAGATATCAACTTACTGAAGACAATGGTTACGGTGGCGCAATTCAGTGGATTGGTTGAAGTTAGATATTAACACCGCTGAATGCTAGCCGGCCCAATGGTCTAGTTGGTTAAGCGCGTGGCGCGAGACCGATAGCTCCTGGGTTCGAGTCTCGCGGGGTGAGGGATCGTGGATGCGCACGGTTGAGGAATGGAATTACAGAGAAACTGTATCACCATTTTTTGTTATTATTGTGAATTGGTATTTCATTAATCTAAGTTTATTATTGTCTTGACTTGACTTATGTTAGACTACTGTATGTTTAGTGTTGGGTAGTTAGTTGGAGGATTATGAAAATTTTAACACTTTCTATAATTCATTTGGTATTATTGTTTTACTTATATCTTCCCATTGATGTTCAGGATTACAATTGGCATATGTAAATCCTGTGTGTATTGCCTCCATAATGCTGTAATTCACAAGCTTTTAAAAGCAAAGATGGAAAGTGGCTAGAAGTGGAATCCACGAATCGAATTTAATCTTATTTGGGACTTGTTCACTGGATCTATCTACATCCCAGACTTGTTGATGTTCACTCTAAGACTCGAACCCAGTACTGTTCACTTCTAATGCCATCGTGTTATCCATTCAGCTAGTGAATACTTCCTATAATTGATATGTGAGATTTTGACCATCTTTTAGTAGATACACTAATTGGAAACTTGTTGAAATTCTCTTTGTAATATCGATAATAATTTTATAAATTAGGGTCAATTATATTACTATTTAGTATCAGAAATATGATGAAACAAGGGTTTGTTCCAATCAAATTGATAAATTTTAAAATGAACATTTACAAACAATCATATTGTTGGGATATTCGGGAAAATATCCCAGAAATTATCCTATTAAGTCTAATGCTATTCTTGGACTTGGACATGGTATGATTTTCTTATTGGTCAGTACTTATTTCACGTGTTATTTTCCTGCTGGTCAATATTGTACAATGTTATTTTCTATTTTATGGTATGTTGTGGTCTGATTGACTGGTATATAAACAAAGTATGTTTGAAATATAATGATTCATATCTCAGAGGCTGAGACTTGCGTTCTGGACTCAACTACTGGGTTAGATAGGGAAGCGGGACCAATCAGAACCCTAGGTCGTTCTACGTGTTTGCGTGTCTTTGGTCCGATCGATAATTCGCTCCCCTCAAATCTGCTGCCGTCTCACAGTTATCACACATATGCAGTTTTATTCATGAATGATGAAATTCGATTCTCCACAAATCCCCATTCCGATGATGATAGTATTAATCATATGCTCACTAGTGACTAGATTCAACATAGATTTTATAGAGTTCTAGTGCATAACCGTGACCGATGAAGTCTAATCCGTATGTGAGGGTGTGAAACAGTTATCCATCTCCGACAATAGATGAAAAGTTGAGCAAAATATTGAATCGATCGAAGTTAGATGTTGACACCATCGGATACCACCAGCTCAATGGCCTAGAATTTAAGCGTTGGGTGATGAGATAGAAGTTCCTGAGTTCGGGTTTCATGTCTGCATCCGTGGATGAGGACTTCTGAAAAGTTTCATACTACGACAAGACTGTCGTTCAATACTCCCTGGTTTCTAATAGTGGTGTAGTTAAGAATTATTCACAGATTCAATTGTTAAAATTCAGAGAACATTATTATGAGTCCCACAATAGGACGAAACGGCCGTCCAATGCTTCCAGGTTTTCCATGGTGGTCTAGCTTCATTTGATTCATGAATTCAATTACTGAAACTATCAAAATTTTCACAAAATCCCTTGTGATAATATGTATATATACCGTTATATCTAGAGCTTGAACTGCGTACAACAAAACCACTCGAACGCTTGAACCTTTCATGTTATAATTTAGAAGACACAAGACGAGTAGGATGAAATCTTATTCCAAACAGCGTTAATTATGGTACAAAAACATTCGAGTATTTAAAGTACAAGCTGCAATAAATAAAAAAAACATCTAAAATGTGTTTTCCAGTATTCAACATGGATTCGATCTATCTACCACATGGATTTATGGACAAATAACATAGAGTGAGAATAATACACACATCATTATTCTGTAAGTGTTATTAATCCATTATTATAAATGTATTGCTTTAAGGGTAGATCAACAAACTTAAACATGGTTACATTCATATATAGGAAGAGTATTTATTACCATAACAATAAAAATGATACAAAAGTTTCTAACATTATTGTACCTGGATCCTGGAGAATAAATTAAAGGTGAAAAACAACAAATAAATCAGTTTATCCTTACTTACTTACGCCTGTTACTCCCAATGGAGCATAGACCGCCGACCATTATTCTGCAACCCACTCTGTCCTGAGCCTTTCTTTCTAGTTCTATCCAATGGTTGTTCATTGTTCTCGTGTTTATATGGATTTTTCAGAGTAATGTGTTCTTTGGTCTTCCTCTTCTTCTTTGGCCTTGAGGATTCTATGTGAGGGCTTGCCTTGTGACGCAGTTGGATGCTTTCCTCAATGTGTGTCTTATCCACTTCCAGTGCTTCTTCCGGATTTCTTCCTCCACTGGAATCTGGCTTGTTTTTTTCTTATAGTAGGTTGTTGCTACTAGTGTCTGATTAGTTTATCCTATGTACCTAACATAATAATAGTAGCATTTTCACCTAAAATAATCAAAGCAAAGGTCAAATCGATTATATCAAGTCAATAAATAAAATAATAATATACCATCGAAAATCAATAGAAATCAATACCCAAATCTTGTTACAGCTGATCAATTCACCTGATCCATTGACTAAATACAATAGTTTCTGTTTATATATATCGAATAATTTTGATTGACCCCTCTCCATGATTTATTTTAACCAATCAAATTAATCTTAACAAACAACCAATCAAACTGATCTTAATGAATAGCCAATCAAATTTCAAGATACCCCTTTCTGAAATTCTCCGGAGAAATCGAAGAATTTATTTTTTATTTTTTTGATTTACACTAAAGAATGAATTAGATCACTTAACATAGAAATTCTCTTAGATTATTATGGATCACAACGAACAATGTCATTTCAAAATATTACCTTCTCTCCCCATATATATATGAACGAGTACTATTCAATTGTTTCATGAATCTAAAGTATCTATTTTCTTTTGAAGGATCTAAATAGACAATGTTCAATTATCATAGTTCAATAAGAATTATACAAGTTAATCATTCATTGTTTTTTCCTATGAACAATAAAGTTTTAACACATTTTACAACTAAACCAGTTGAAATTTATTTACCGAGTATTATTACTTCTTAAAAGAGCAAGAACAAACATCCTAGTAGAATAGCATGAATTCATTTTATTTCGTAGGTTCTCGTCAGTTGCTTACAACCTGTGATATTTAAAATCATAATTACACAATGGGTCTGAATTACTTACATGAAAGAGTTTGATTGGAAGTTATATTGAAGACACATTCGTATAGTATAGCAAGGGTGCAAATCAATTTAATAGACTGAATATTGTAAATGTATACCTTATGTGATGAAAGAACATTGTGACAACAGTTCAAACGGTTAGGAACAAGTAAACATTGATAGAAATAAAATGAGTAGAGTTCGGTTGATAAAATAAGATTATTAATTTGGAAGATAGTTGGAATAAAACTCAATGATGTGATAAGTGCAAGAAAGAGTTAAAAAAATATTAAGATACAGCGAAGGAATATTAGTCACCAAGGCAAAGAAAAATTAATAACCATCTTTTGAACACGTAAATCAGGTTTTCGGCGTCTGATAGCAACTGCTTTAGCAATCTTCAGAAGACTGGAGTTTGTCTGCTTACTAATCACCTTGAATGATTGTAGAGTATCAACCTGATGTCCTGTGTCAAGGAGATGTTTGGTGATTGCACTGCTTACAGTCTTTCTTTCTCTTGTTCTGAGGCTTTTTGGAAGATGTTGAAAAAATCTGAGGTATGCCTTTCTTTCTGTTCGGCCAATACAGCTGCTTTGGTAGGTACACATAAATTTATAAAAACAATTATTACTTCAACTATATTACTTATCATTATTTCTATGATTGGAACAATAGGTAATAGTCTTGTTGTATGGGCATTTAGAAAACAAGTTAAACAAGGTATTGTTTCAGGCTTGTTTATTCTATTATTGGCTTGTAATGACTTATTTATTTGTCTTATTGTAATTCCATGTACATTATATTTAGATATTTGGACAGGGGATACAACTGATTGGATATGTCGTGCACATTTAACAATGAAAGGATTTGTTGTACCTGTTTCAGCATGTGTAGTAATGTTGATAGCAATGGAAAGATTTTTATGAATCTATTTCATTCCTGGTATACAAATGCAACGTACACATATTGTATTATCATTAGTCATTATATTTTGTATTGGTTTATTATGTGCTATACCAATGGGATTACATGTTCGTGCAATTGATTTATTTAAAGAACGTGATGAATTATTAGGTTGAAATACATTGAAATATGGATTATCCACTATGGAAAATGTTATGTCCTTTGGTCTGTCTACCCACTTTTGATGCTAAGGATACTTATCTAATCCAGATTAAAACCATGGCGCGATAAGTTGACCGACCCAAGCTTAAAGCTAGTACGCGTGAGTTCGAAGTGGAGTAGAGAGAAAACTATTCTATCACCTGATTGGCTGACAAGCACGCGGATGAGAGAAGACAAGACAACTGGTACACTACTCGATCTATTACCGGATTAGTGTAAAAAGGTACATGAATAAATAAGTGAATAACGAGACCATAACGTACAATAATTAGGAAAAATACAGTTATGTCCAAAGCTGGGGAGTAGATAATAGGGTGCAAAATATTATGTTTAAATTACAATATCTTCGGAACAAAAAAGGGTATGACAATGAATCATACATCGAACGAAAGCTCATGTCCTGTAGAATAAAATAGGGACAAAAATAAGTGTTACAGTTTTAAAAGGTTTGCATAAAATGAAATAACGTCCCGAAGAAAAATAGCTTCCATAGTTTATCAGGGCATCTTGTTTACTTGTTCACAATATAAAATGAAGAATGGCTTGATCAGTTACGTGTTTCAAAACGATGCGATAAAGATGACACATACATTAATGATCAGTTATACTGGTATCATCAAATTTGTGTACTCCTGTTATTTTTAGTATTGTTTCTTGGAACAGCTGGTGTATATGCTCTGATCTTTCTATTTGTTTGGAGGCATGAATCATTTATGTATGAGAAATATGGTAATCCAAAAATGAAAGGCAATTGGGTACGTATACATGCTACACCGAATTCTTCAGGTGATATAAATGATTCCAAATGGAATTCAATTAAAAAACGAATATCATTTCGTAATAAGTTAAAAGAATCAAATGATTTACAAAATGAACAAGAAGATAAACAAAATTCTAGTGTCTTTGAACATGAAGAAAGACAACAATTGGAACTTCATGACCGTCAACAATATGGACAGAGTTGCTTTGAACACTTGTCTAGTTTATCACTACCCCAACCATATTTAAAACAACAAACTTTGGGAATTCATCAACCCCTAACAGATATGACAACATCGACAAGTTTTGTCACATCTAATTTAGACAGAATAAGTTGTGTATGTTTATGTGAAAGAGATAATAACAATGGATTGATTAAAACTAGTCAGTGTTCAATTCCTAAAGATAAACTGTTCAATGACAGTAATACTGATAAAGAGAATGAAGAGTCACATTGTTCAAAGCTACCTGGTAATAAGAAAAACCAGTGTAATATAGAAATAAATAATCCTCAATTATCAAGAACTGAATTGTCAGCAGCTAATCTAGAACGTAGACGTAAACCACATGTACGCACAGCTCAAACATTAGCATTAGTTGCAGCAAATTTCATTATATCTTATACACCATATCTTGTTTATACAACAATGCCAATACAAATAAGACAAGTAGTTCTTTTAAAAGATAAACCACATTAGACTATTCAAGTAAGACGTATACTATTTTACATGTATTTCATTAATTCTGCATTGAATCCAATTACTTATTCTTGTATGAATATAACATTTTCGGGTTTGTATAATACAGATTAAAAGATAACATTGTAGTGTCGCTTGACATGTTAAGCCTCCATATTCCTTATTCTGACTTTGGACAGGCCAATCTATTCATTGTACTTGAGTCATATTGTTACCGTGTTAATTATTCGCCTACCAATCTTGACTGTTTTTATATGAGCGCATATCTGTGCGTAATATTTTTATCCTATTCATCATATGTCCGTAACTTATTTTTGTGTGATTATACATATTGATTAACTCTTGGTTAAAGGGGATTTGGCTTACTAGCCATCTCCACTCTGTGTCTTTTCTCTTCGTTCTGTTCCATTCGCTTTATATACAAAATATGTGTATTCAAAAGTTCATTCTCGTTATCTGACTCATTTAATTACGTTATTGACTAAGGCGATTTAAGTCGATGATTATATACGAGAAAAGGCAACATATATATATTCCAATAACAATCATTCATTACGATCACCTTGTAGTCAGATCCTGAGCCACTAAAGTGGAGAGCCCATCGAAAAACATCTTCCGATCTAACTGACGACAAAATAAAGGGCTCCACTAAAATAAATTAAAAGACAAACATCTAAATCAATAATAAATGATACCAATCATGAATTGATTTGTGTTGTATTATCACCGATTTCGTTGGGTAAAATATTCTCTCAAATTTTCATACTACTGATTGTCCATTAGTAGTGTGGTAGTTTGACAGGTTTCCTTGTTTTCTATCATCCATGGAATTATAGTAATTATGACAGAGTTCTGTACTTGTTATCAAGGCCATTCAATGACCCATTGTATGGTTTTAGCTGACAAAGTATAAAAGTTGAAAGTCTCTCCATTTTTTTTACGGTTCATCAATATCATTTAATTGCAAAACTGTTATCATAGGTTACGTCATCAACTGGTTTTACCCAAGATCAATTTGTGACATAAAGTCTATGACAATTCTACATGCTCCACAAAACCACCCACTGATCATTTATTATGGTTTAAAAGAAAATTCTATGAGCAGAAATAGATTAATCGTGATACTGAAAGGTCGGCCATTCTATAATAGATGATTTCATGGGTATATATTAATAACATGTCTCACACTAGGATAGAAAATCTATCTTGTAATTATCATTATAGGGTTGTGAAAATTATTAAGTATTTTGATTGAGATCATAAACTGATTGATGTTAGACCACTATTGGAAACCTAGTAGCACTGGATGACCATTTCTTGTTGTTGTGAGACTCCTCAGCAGTGCGCATCTTAGATCCCGCTCACAGGATTCTCTGTTGTTCAACCGTACTTGAAATCACCCTTTTTCATGGTGAATACTAATATTAACAATGATAATAATAATAATCACAACCAAATGATAGATGTGTATGTGGAGTTTGTTTAAATGAAATAAGGGAATAATAAAATGAATAGATAATTATTTTATATTAAAGTGAATAAGGTGTGATATCTGACTGACATTACCATTTCTAAGAATGAAATGAAATGATAAGTCTTCATGTAAAGATAATCATGATTACTGCTATGATTACATCACCAACGAAAACCCCTGGTAGACAATTGTGGGTTTTCTAAAGATTTCACTGTACTACTACTACTGTAGTGAACAAGAACACTGGTGGGGACAATCAAATGTATTTAGTCCAACAATTACAGTCTAACTCAACAAAATCTGAATACCATATAGTCAATCGTCAATTTGCAAAATATTCATGCATCAAACAAAAAAGGACTGTTTCTGTTGAAAACACCAATCCATTGTCTCCCATTCCATTGTTCATGCATTTTCTTACAAATTCCAATTTGTTCTCGCTCTACCTTTCTTGATCTTCGCCATCTTCCGCTGCCAGACATTACGTTCTTCCAACGCACGTTATATACTACTTATATCAATATAAGTAACTCACATCACACTACTACTGAATATCGAACACAAAAACATCGGTACGAACATATTTTCAAATACACAAAATATCAGTGATATGTTTAAGGATTATAGATCATCATTTATCGAGCATATTACAGGCAATACTATAGTGAACAAGAACCGCAGTGGGGACAATCGAATGTATTTAACACAACATTACAGGGCTTTTTAATAAAATTTAACAATCATAAAGTAAATGCTTAATTTGCATAGTGTCCATCGGTTGTCTCAAAATGACTCAGACTTCATTGTTTTTGCATTTTCATACAAATTGCATTTTGTTCCCATTCTTTACTGTTCGATCCTCTTATCTTTCTGCTGCTAGACCTTCTGTTCATGACTAACATCATATACTACTTACGTCAATATGAGTAGCATACATCACAATACGTATTACAATATTACATTTCATCTTATATACATACAAAATCCCTTCATTTGTTCTCATTACATACAATAATCTTCACCAACAATTAGATCCCAACTTATTTCATATTTAGCCCTATTATTATATTTTCATTATTGTTATCAACGAAGAACTTTGTTCAATATTATATGTTTGATGATAGTAAATGTTATAATTCTCCCTTATTACAACTCGACTATTCATACTGCTTAGTATTCTCGGACACTGATTCACTTGACAAGTCCCCAAATCAGAACACACTTTAACAGGAAAACAGATTATATGCCAAATAACAAGGTTAGATGGAAGTAAGCAAAAGCACAATAGGAAAAACGATTGTATATATTTATCGTTTTTACATTGAGGAGATTCTAGAATGTTCTCCAAGTATCGACTAGCGTTGATTGGATAAGAATTAGCCAATCAACGTGCACCAACGTAATTGTGCATCAAGTATGCTTTAATTCAATCTATATCCTGCTAACAGTAAATTATTTTTAACACAAAATATCTAAAATTGTTAGAAATCCTTATTTTAGGTGTATTCACTTTATGCAATTTTTAATTGTAATCAATGATCAATAGCAATTCTTGGTCATCCTGCAATGCCTTACGATTAGCCTTTCTATTGTAACATCACAATTCCATCATGGAATATATACAATGTATGTATTATACAATAGTCGTCTTGAAATACACATGAAAGGAGGGGGTGAATATAGGAACTATCATTGTTGTACTTCTTGAGTTTCTCAATGATTCCTTCGATTTTCAACTTGTCGTTTATACTCAGTAGCCTTCATATAAATGCACAATATTCAATCACTGCGAGGACAATGACTTTATACGAGACTAGTCTAGACTCTCTATAACTTATATGTTTATGTGGCTTCTATCTGATTGACGCTTTTTGTTTTGAAATTTTAGGTCATTCGAATATTTTGAGCCAAGGTCTAAGATAGTATCAGTTTTGGTTATTGCCATATGATCCACTTGGAAATAAAATCTTAGTTTGTTTCATCCGATACTAATCCAGCTATATTTGTATCGTCAAACTGAAGTCGTTACTTTTTATACCATACTAGCACATTGTCTAATTCTTTTTGAATAAAATCAGTAGTACTCTATACTTTGTCTCTGCATTATGAGTAGACTACTTTCAGTTCATCAGCGTACAGGAAAGCGTTCACCAGATTAAAGCAGCTAAACGCAGTACGCAGTTTGAGTCCTGAATATAACGGTATATATACATATTATCGGAGACATTTTGTGGAGATCTTAGTAATTTCAATAATTGAAATCATGGATCAATTGAAGCTAGACCACCATGGAAAACCTGTAAGAATTGCACAGCCATTTCGTCCTATTGTGGGACTACACAGCAGTGCGCATCCACAATATACATTTATATATATATGTTTAGCTTAAAGTTCATTTGAGAAATGTTAATGGTTAAATTATAATCGTGAAGTGAGAACATGTACACATACATACATATTTTTTCAAGCCAAGCATTGTTTAATAGATATACATTACTTCTGAAGTATTTCCGTCTATACAGATCATAATAATGTTCTCTAAATTTTAACAATTGAATCTGTAAATAATTCTTAACTACACCACTATTAGAAACCCGGAATTATTGAACGACAGTCTTGTCGTAGTATGGAACTTTTCAGAAGTCCTCATCCACGGATGCAGACATGAAACCCGAACTCAGGAACTTCTATCTCATCACCCAACGATTAAATTCTAGGCCATTGAGCTGGTGGTATCCGATGGTGTCAATATCTAACTTCGATCGATTCAATATTTTGCTCAACTTTTCATCTATTGTCGGAGATGGATAACTGTTTCACACTCTCACATACGGATTAGACTTCATCGGTCACGGTTATGCACTAGAACTCTATAAAATCTATGTTGAATGTAGTCACTAGTGAGCATATGATTATTACTATCATCATCGGAATGGGGATTTGTGGAGAATTGAATTTCATCATTCATGAATAAAACTGCATATGTGTTATAACTGTGAGACGGCAGCAGATTTGAGGGGAGTGATTTATCGATCGGACCAAAGACAAGCAAACACGTAGAATGACCTAGGGTTCTGATTGGTCCCGCTTCCCTATCTAGCCGAATAGTTGAGTCCAGAACGCAAGTCTCAGTCTCGGATATATGAATCATTATATTTCAAACATACTTTGTTTATATACCAGTCAATCAGACCACAACGTACCATAAAATAGAAAATAACATTGTACAATATTGACCAGTAGGAAAATAACACGTGAAATAAGTACTGACCAATAAGAAAATCATACCATGTCCAAGTCCAAGAATAGCATTAGACTTAATAGGATAATTTCTGGGATATTTTCCTGAATATCCCAACAATATGATTGTTTGTAAATGTTCATTTTAAAATTTATCAATTCGATAGGAACCAACACTTGTTTCATCGTATTTCTGATACTAAATAGTAATATAATTGACCCTAATTTATAAAATTATTATCGATATTACTAAGAGAATTTCAACAAGTTTCCAATTACTTCGGATTCGTTGGCCAGACACTACACTATCAGCAACAACCTACTGTGGCCGAGAACAAACCAGAACAAAGTAGTGGAGGAAGAAATCAGGGATAAGCGCTGGAAGTGGATATGACACACATTGAGGAAAGCACACAACTGCATCACAAGGCAAGTCCTCATCACTCGTAATCCTCAAGTCCAAAGGAGGAGAGGAAGAAGACTAAAGAACACATTACACCGATAAATTGAGATAGACATGAGGAGAATGAACAACATTGGATAGAACTAGAAAGAAAGGCCAATCATAAAGTTGGTTGGAGAATGATGGTCGGTGGCCTATGCTCCATTGAGGGTAACAGGCCTAAGTTATACGTAAGTGAGAATCAAATCTAATAACCGTCGTCAAAAAAATCGAAGTTACCCTAGTTTCCTGATAAGTCTTATCGATTGAACGTTATATTTGTTTCCTAAGCTATTCCGATGACCCGCACATTAGAACTACACAGTGACTTGAACACCAGAGAGAAGACGCATTGTATGAAAGAAATACTTTACTCCAATGTGCATTTTTGTAAAGAAAGCATGGGTATTATAGATGTTAAGGTTTGTTAAATCAACATCATATTCCAGTCAATCCGTTAACGACATATTATGCTACTGACCAATAGTAGCACGCCACGTTAGAATTCTAGAATGCTCTGTAGTGTCAGTTACTATGTTAAGCCCATAGAACTTATTCTAGTTTTCGGAAATCCTATTCGATTCATTCTACTTGAGTCATATTTTGACCTTGTTAATTATTCGCTTATCAGTCTTGACTGTTTTTATATGAGCGTATATGTGTGTTCATTTCATATCCCATGTCTCATCACATGTCTGTAGTTTATTTTGTCTGATTATAAATATTGAGTAACGCCTGACTAAAAATGAGTTGGCTTACCAGCCATCTCCACTGCGCATCATTCTTACTTGGCTTCACCATGTGCTTGAATGCTGTACATTTGCGGATTTTTATTAATCATTAGCAATGAATTAGCTCTACAACTGGTGTTCAGGCTTCTGAATAATTTCGAGTAAGTCCGTAATTCCACTAGGAGATTAGGCCTACCTTAAATACTCAGTTTACGGGATATTATTTATTGGAGCCAGATAATGAGGACATTAGCCTTAACATATTGGTGAGCCGCCGTTAAAACAGCTCCATCATGCTGTGATTGGCTAGGACTCTTCGGCTCTTTTTTGGCCTCTGGAGGCTCCGTCGAAGTTTTTCGTAAGCCGACTCAACATTTTCCACGTAACATTATCATACTTTGTTATCGGTAGGATTGATGACATAAACTCAGGCTAAGAGAACACCCTAATCTCAATAAATAAACATATAATTACTATCACTAACCCTACCTCCTTAAACTATGATCTAACAACACATGATCTGTGAAATAGTTTGGTACCAACAAGTAAAGCTTTGCAAAACTTCAAAACTGAATTGAAAGCATTCTTACATGGATTAACTTTACGACATTCATCGTATTTCGATAAGAAATGACTCAGTGTATCCCAGCCACCACCGACTCGAACCATCACATGATTTCTCAGTATCTAAATTAAAACAATAAAAAAGGTTTGACTGAAAAGATACAACAAGTCGATACAAACTTAAATTATGTTACGTAACATTTTAAATGTCAGTCAAGTATCCAACGTTTGCTATGGAGGCAATGAACTCACGATGAATAAGACATAAATTTATGTATAAAAGTCGATATAGTGAATTAAGCCATGCTAATCTACAGAATAATCAATTCATACATTTTTCTAAAGTGTTTAGATAGGTATCATTTCATGTTTACTCATAAAACAATTTTGACTCTTTTCATTTCATTACACTTACTGTTCTTCCATATAACTTGAACAAACAGATCAAAACTTGAAACTTTGTTATAATCATAGTAATAGTCATATCCAAATCCATTTAAATTTCAAGGTGCGAGGTAGTGGATGCTCACTATTGAGGATTTTCATACAAGGAAGGAAATGGCCATGAATTTAACCATTAAATTACTAAAATCTTCACAAAATCCCCTCCCGATTAAATGGACACGTTTTCAAGTGAAAATTTAAACTACTTAATTTTATTTAAACAGTATAAGTATTTCCAGATAATTGTTATTGAGCAACTATTTGGCATGTACTGAAAGCGAAGCATGTATGTATGTTCATATTTTTTATGACATATAGAATCATATTGAAATTGTAATCTATATAATCACCGTTGAAAATCAAAACTTCATCATAAGAGGTTCATTAGAAGTGAGTAAAAAAGAAGATACGTCATTTCTTTCAACAATTACAAGTAGTGTTATTGGTAGTAGTAGGAGTAGTAGTAGTACGAGGAGGAGGAGTATACTTTGATTTATATGACCTATTAGTGGTTCTCAGCATGATCATGACAATTATAATTGATGATGAATAGAAAGCCAAATGTTTGATCAGATATACTTAAATCAGATTAGTAATGACAATGTTACCTCATATATACAATGATTCAATGAGAAATTTAATTGTACTCAAATTCTTATCAGTATACTTATAAATCTATAGTCAATTGAGTAATATAGATCATTGAAATGGTTATCAAACGTATACTCACTGTATGTGTATTATTTATCTATATTTCATTCATTCACTTGATAAGTCAAAATGACATTAGTTGTATTGAAGTAACCGAATTCAATGAACACAATGGAATTTCAATATAATGATTACTACCCCCCACCCACCCACACATACACATTCTTGTAGTGAACAAAAACTCGGTGGCAACATTTGAATATATTTGAGTACAAAATTGTAGAATTGCTTAGTAAAATCTGAGAAGCATAAAGTGAATACTTGATTGTTCTTTTGTTTCTACACTAATCATTCTTTGTTCTTGTTCTCATTTCATCATTGATTTTCTTAACCTTCTGCCGCTAGGCATTTCACTTTCGATTGATGATGCATACTACTTATATCTGTCGATATGAGTGGCCCATACCACATTCTTAGGGATAAGAAACCATCTATGACTTTTAAACAAAGGGCTTAACGGATTTAAATGACTACTGAATTTGCCGGCATCGAACGGTGTTGGTGTCTAACTTCAACTAATCCACAAAATTGAGCGACACATCTATCATTGTCTTCAGTGAGTTAGTATCAACTTTGTCATCGATGACATTCTGGAAACAGCTCTGATGAATGTATATAATGGCGGTGTGGATGTGTTGCCTGGAGAAGGACTTCTCGACTTTGAGTATGTGGATGATATTTTATTACTGTGCGATAATGCCCAAGCCATTCAATCTGCACTTATTCAGTTGGCAATCAGTGTTCGTAAGTATGGTATGTGCTTTGTACCTTCGAAGTGCAAAGTACTTCTACAAGACTGGCAGGATTCTAATCCTGTACTCACCCTGGATGGTGAACAGACAGTAGTAGTCGAGTAGTTCGTGTATCTGGGTAGCTGCATAAGTACTGGTGGGGGTGTGAGTGGTGAGATCAATGCACGCATAGTGAAAGCCAGAGAGGCTTATGCCAATCTAGGCCATCTTTGGCGCCTTCGTGATGTCAGTCTGGCTGTAAAAGGTCGAATCTACAACGCGTCGGTGAGAACAGTTTCGCTCTATGCTTGTGAAACCTGGCCATCCGAGTTGATGACGTTAGACGACTCTCTGTGTTCGATCATCGCTGTCTCCGAAGGATTGCTGGTATTCAGTGGCAACACCATGTCAGTAATGCAGAGGTTCCGCATCGTTATCAGATATGGCTCAGAATAGGAGCCAGTGGCGATTCTGTTGTAACTTTCAATTACTTTCTTCATAAAAGTGATTGCTTCTTCCATAACTGAAAGATTTCTTCTGATTGTTTCCCACATTATTATTATTACTACACTACCTTACACTAATCTGTTCGTTATTGTTCTTTTTTACGCTCCTTAACTGTTTTTCTTCTTCTCTTCAAACTCTCATCGTTTTGTGTGGCGCATATATATTTGGTGCCCTCTTGTACCAATATTTATATGTTCAAATAAATAAATAAAAATTAGTATCACACAACAGACCCAGTTGAACTCCACTGATCACTGCTTCTCACTAGAACTCCAGGATATATCTCTTGAAGCCAGTCACTAGTGAGCATATGTTGATTAGTATCAGAAATGAGTTTATGGATATTATAGCAATTTCAATGGTTGAAATCATGAGTCAGTTGAAGTTAGACCACCATGGAAAACCTGGATGCCAGCTCAGTGGTCCAGTGGTTAAGGGTTCGTGCACAGATTTTCATCTTGTACAAATCTAGAACTTAAAGAGTTGCCTGCATTTTGAATTATTCATTATCATCACTTATGTGTCTAGTAGTCACGGGCTGATTTCATCTTAACCATTCACCGAAATGGATTTTTAAATCACTTAAACTAAACAAGTCACCCGGGAAAATTAACTTCGTACAATATCAACAGATTTATGTTTGTAGGTGATTACCTGTTGAGCAATTTAAGTAATCCTGTCGAGCTATTGTTTCTTTAACACGAGTAGTCGAGTTAGTAACTGATTTTATAGCATCTAAGGGTAGTCGGAAGTCTCTCAACTCTTAAGTAACCATTCTACTCCAGTCAGAATATATTATAAGAAAGCTCCGTATAGTATTTCTATGAAAAGATATGAAATGTCAATAATCAACTGGATACAATAATTAAGATCATCTAAGATAAAAGAAATCGAAAGCTTATCACACTAATCAGTCAATTCGTCACTTTCTACATTCGTTTGTCCTCAGTCTCTTGTTTACAAATGTAATCCCATATGTTGTAGTTCAATTTCACTCACACTGTATCACACTAATGACTGATTGGCGACTCGAGCATATTAATGATACCTTCATAAAATAGATTCATCGTAATATCGGGAGTGTCTTTTAGCATCATATGAAAGATGTAGCAGGTTAACCAGGGTCGTTGTAAATACATTCACTTAACGCTCGTAACAATCACTTTCGATTTATGTGCATTTCTTCAACATTTGCTCATTTCCAGGCATAACTCATTCATGTGTTTCGACTCTTTGATTGAATTCATATACATATAAGAACTGATAAATATTCAACTATTTAATCAATTTCAATGATTAGGATCATGAGTCAGTTGAAGCTAGACCACCATGAAAAACCTGGAAGCATTGGACGGTCGTTTCGTCCTATTGTGGGACTCCTCAACAGTGCTCATTCACGACCTCGTAACCTGAGAGATTCGAACCCAGGGTTTCGCGCGCGGGCACTTAACCACTAGAACACTGAGCCGGCTGGTATCCAACGGTGTTAATGTCTAACTTCAACTAATCCACGAAATTGAGCGACACATTCATCATTGTCTTCAGTGAGTTACTATCTCACAACAGACCTGGTTGAATTCCATTGGTCACTACTTCTCACTCCACAAAAAGACCCATCTGATATTTAATCAATATATGATTTATTTATTATCATTTTCTTCTTTGAACTCTTTAAGTTAGACTGTATTGATCAAGGCATTGTTTAACATAAATATTTATTTTTGGTTATCTATCGTGTACCTGTCATAAAGTGATTCAATTTTTCTATAGAGTATTGATCGTATATTTAATCAAATGGTAATAGAATCTTGGTAACAGGTAATATTATAGTAATATATTGTGAAAAATAGAAAATAATCGAATTGTTGTTATTCTCAGTATAGGGTTGTGGAGATTATTACGTTTTTGATTTAAATCATGAACTGAGTGATGTTAGACCACCATTGAAAACCTGGAAGAACTAGACGACCATTTCGCCTTATTGTGGGACTCTTCAGAAGTGTGCATCCACAATCCCGCTCACGGCATTAGAACCCAAGGCCTTCACTCTGACTGACCGCAGTACAATGGAAGATGTTCGCGCAATTTCGTGGATTGTTTGAAGTTAGACATTAATACCGTTCGCTGCCGACTCAGTGGTACAGAGGTTAAGCGTATCTCTGGTCTGGACCCAATAATAGTTGGTCTATCATTCTGTGATTTTATATTCACATCCAGAAGGATATATTTCACAGAGAGCTAAGAGATAAACATTTATCAATTGCACACATGGAGTATCAAATGCTGCTGTTAAAGGAAGTCGACCTACATCAGGTTGGTAAAACCCCTCTACATTTCTCAATCATTACTAGTCAATGATTTCCATTCAATCTTGTGGCAATAACAACTTCACTTCTGTAAAAATTAATGTGAATTCCTTATTCAAACTTGTTTGTTTACTTCAAATTCCAGTCAAAACAGACAACGTGTAATAATGTCGTCAATACAAGTCAACATATATATATTACTTACATTCGATGAAAATGTACACACAAGGAAATCCGTCATTGAAAGTGCAATGATGTCAATAATTGCATTATTCATTGAATTAACTGACATCCGCATATTCAAATTAGCTGACTGCGATCTACCTGGACTACCATAGACAGTGTAGTTTGGATAACTGTAGGGTAGTTGAGTAAAAATATTCGGATCATCTGTCGACAAATAAACACTTCGCTTAGCTTGAACACAGTTATTTCTTCTAATGATTCTTTCAGAAACTGATAAGTCTTGCGGATTGAACGCTATATTCGTCTCCTAAGCTATTCTGTAACCTTCAAGCTAGAACTATACAGCGACGTGAACGAAAGAGAAGACGCAAAGTATGCGAGAAGTAGTTTACTCCAAGAATCATTTTAATACAGAAAATACAAAGTTTTTATATTTTAAATGTCCTTGGGTTTCTAGAAAATTCTGGAATACTACTAAACATAGTAGCAGTGTAGCAACCAGTCAATCAGAACCTCTACATGTGACGTTTCGCTTCCTTGATATTTTTGGCAAAAACTTCAAGCGAACGCTGATTGTGCGAAACGCGTCTTAGTGATTCTTGATGCCCGCTTGTCTTTTGTAAACAATTTTCTGGATCACTCCAACGAAACGGATCCAAATCTCTCTCCATTCATGTCCTAACAGTTTTAAAAATCACAAATTAGATTCATTCCGTATAATAGTAATAATGATGATGAAGTAGTTAGTCTGAATACGAAGCGATACAACTAGATATAATATAACATTGGAAACATTTCCTATTCTCATAACATACAACTTCTAATCATTCAAATCGAACTCTTAAGACTAAAAATAAAGTGAGTTCTCCGTGAATATTTTCATGTTGTCAATCACCAACTTTAATTTGTCAATGTTGTTTCATGAGTCACGTCTATTCGGTAGTACCGTACAATTTTAATAAAGAATTAACTGAAACATACATCAGTGAAAGTTAACAGATTTATAAGAATGTGAATATAAGCTAATAACTTTGTATAAAAAATATTGAGCAGGATAATGTTAGACACTAAAACCTAAGCGGAATAAAAATGTCAGTGCAAAACTGAATGTACAGTGATATGTAGTCTGTTGAAACAATCTCACTTCATCAGTTGAATCCAGTCATGTTTAGTTTGGGTCTAAACTTGTAAGCAGGTGCAATGAATAATTTGTTTTTCATACCCTTTTGGTTTTTATTATGTATATCTTCATTTGATTGAACTAGTTTTACTAACACTGAACCGTTCCAGTAAGTTTTGACAATTTCCACTACATCACCATACTTCAAATTTACCTTCATATCTGGAATGATCACATCAAATTTCATTCTGCTGTAATCTTCTTCATGATATAACTTATCGATTGAATGAAATAATTGTGTGGCATCACCCAAATCCACATGACGTGTTTGCATCAACTCATAAGCTAAACGACAAACCTAAGAAAAATAACAATAAGATCATATATGAAATGTGAGGATATTCACTGAGATTATCAGAATATTTCATCAAATTTTGTAGATGAATTGCAACCACTATGTTTTCATGGATTATGATTTTGAATAAAATTCCATAAAACTGTTGATCCTAAAATAAATACATTCAGTTTGAAGTGGTGAAGATTGTTGAGTTTCATTAAAATCATGAACGGATCTAAGTTAGACAGCCATTAAAACCTGGCAGCACTGGACAGCTGTATCATGCTAGTGTGGGAATCATCAACAGTGAGCATCCAAGATTCTGCACGTGGGATTCAAACACAGGACCATCCTTGCTCACTAGCGACTAGCTTCCAGATGTAACATATTCAAAACAGTTTTCCATGACTTGTGAAACACATTGAAACAGATATATATGTCAATATCTACGTATTGATTATCGAATAAACTTTTCAAAAATGGCGATGTTGTTATTTCATTCTCTGTCGGGAACAACAATCGCAGAAATGAATTGATACAGGAATGCTCAAAACATTATTCACTTTCTACTTGTTATAGCCCAAAGCCGTCAATCAGAAGCAGAGAATTATCGATCGGACCAAGGATGCGTAAGACACGTGCGAGCGGCCTAGAGTTCTGATTGGTTCTGCTTCCTGCCTAGCCCAGCCAGTAAAGTCCAGAACACCAGTCTCAGCCTCTGAAATATGAATCCTCATATTTCAAACATACTAAGTTTATATACCAATCAAACAGACCACAACGTACCAATAAAATGGAAAATAACATTTGTACAAAATTAGGCCAAATGTGGCTGTGAATGTGTGAGGCAGTGACTAATGGACAGGGCATAATTCAAGAATGGTAAAACGGATAATAAAACTTTATGGGTCAAAATAAAGTTTTTAATACGAGGAATATGAATAGTTTAGTTATTTAACAATGATACGATAAAAATGTACGTTTAGTATTGGTCCATAAAAAGGATCCCAAAGTTGCCATTCATTATGTTTATCGGGACCTTACACTACTTCAACGTGTAATTATAGATTCGTCATAGTAACTAATTCGTAATAAGGATAAAATGCACAACTTTATTTTAATGAACACAATCTAAAAGTTCTGCTGATAATATTTGAAGTAGACAGACTACTATACGCTTTATTTTACATTATTTTCAACTTAATATTGGTTGCTCTCTAATTCTATGATTTCCTATGAAATGATGTTAGCGGAAGAAGTCACCATAGAACAGGTTGGTGAAAGACCTCTACATTTCTAGATCAACGACTTTCATTCAATCTTGTGGTAATAACAACTTCACTTCTGTAAAAATTAATGTGAATTCTTTATTCAAACTTGTTTGTTTACTTCAAATTCCAGTCAAAACAGACAACGTGTAATAATGTCGTCAATACAAGTCAACATATTTATTACTTACATTCGATGAAAATGTACACACAAGGAAATCCGTCATTGAAAGTGCAATGATGTCAATAATTGCATTATTCATTGAATTAACTGACATCCGCATATTCAAATTAGCTGACTGCGATCTACCTGGACTACCATACACAGTGTAGTTTGGATAACTGTAGGGTAGTTGAGTAAAAATATTCGGATCATCTGTCGACAAATAAACACTTCGCTTAGCTTGAACAGAGTTATTTCTTCTAATGATTCTTTCAGAAACTGATCCAAATCTCTCTCCATTCATATCCTAACAGTTTCGAAAATGACAAATTAAATTCATTCCGTATAATAGTAATAATGATGATGAAGTAGTCAGTCTGAATACGAAGTGATACAACTAGATATAATATAACATTGGAAACATTTCCTATTCTCATAACACACAACTTCTACTCATTCAAGCCGAACTTTAAAAAAAATAGAATGAGTTCTTCTTAGTTCATAGTTTGCATTATGGTCTAGACTCAATTAGACAGCAGTGGAAAACTAGGGTGAATAGAACAACTATCTCGTTTTATTAAGGGACTATATCAATGACTCCCTTATGGAACAAAGTCAGTAAATTTCAGTATCACTAATAAAGTCTAACCTTTAGACAAGTGAGCCAAGATCGATTCTTGAACTAAACATGTCCACTGCTCACACACTGTTAATGACCGTCAACCTGAGATTGAACTGTAATGTAAACGATAAAACTTCACAGCCTCAAATCTACAATAACAAGTGAATATTCCACAGCATTTTGCTTTACATGTTAACTAACAAATTGTTCTCAAATAATCTTTAATTTATATTTAACACTAAATCATTACTGTTTCTTATTGAACTGATATCATAACGTTGAGTAATTGTATGTTATATTCTGAAAATCTTTCAGGATAATGCCAGTGCTTCCCAACCAAATTTTCCACGTTTCCTTCACACTACAATAAATGGGCATAAGTGTCAGAATTACATTTCTCAATGAGTAAAGATTAACTGAATGTAACAGTTTTGATATTTGTAAAACCTCATTATCAAAACATGCAGACAACTAACCAGTTGGAATTGTCATGCTGATCTTGCTTAGAATACCGATTGATTTTTATGAAGTGCAACTTTGTGCTGATTAGCTGGGGAGTTTCACACAGCATAATACATTCGTCTACGGTAAACCCACTGCGATTTCCAGTAGATTAGTTAACGATTTGCAGAGGTTCACACTTTCAAATGGAATGATTAACTGAAGGTCTTGATACTAGTAGGTTAATTCATCCATAAAGCGAAGTTGATCTGATTGATTTGCTAAAGTAATATCTTATTACATCTTCATTATAACGTTTTAAAATCACGGAAATCATATGACATGAAGACTGACTTATAACAGTAGTTACATATTTGGCTAGCAGTGAAATCCAGGATGCGCGTTTCGTCCTATTTGGGACTAGTCAGCTGGATGTACCTGCAAGCTTGTGACCTAAAACAATATCGATACAGTCCGCACACGATGCACATATGACAACAAAAGACTAAACATTTGCAGTCCTAGATAACAATGGGGAGATACAAGTAAACAACACCAAGTGAATTTAGTAGTTGCATGGTTTTTTAACGGCTATTTACATTCGTTATTTACATGATAGGCTTACTTTTCTTAGATAAGTGACTGAGCAATCAACGATTGCAAGAGGTGTGAGGATGTGTCATGAACTATGATAAGAACTTATTCACGTACTTGTAATCTGAGATTAAGATATTCACATTACTGTTTGTCTTTGGACTATTTGTATTGTGTCATTTATCTTGGTAATAAAAAAGTTAGAGAACATAATAAAGCTTATCTGAATAAGATTATTTATTATTCCATATGATATTGAGTTAACTAGAAACGTTTTGCAAAAACAGGTAATATAATGGTTAAACTTTCGCAGGAATTCATCCGATATAAAAATATTTCGTAAAGTGAAGTGATAACCACAGAGAAATTTACATGCTTTGTAAACGTTGTACGTAGGATATTTTATATGGAGTGTGTATTTACTAACTTACTTACACCTGTTACTCCCAATGGTGGAGCATAGGCCGCCGACCATCATTCTCCAATCCACTCTATCCTCGACTTTCCTTTCTACTTCTATCCAAATGTTGTTCATCCTTCTCATATCTGCCCCCATTTCTCGGCGTAATGTGTTCTTTGGTCTTCTTCTTTTTCTATGGCCTTGATGAATCCATGTGACGGCTTGCCTTGTGCTTTTCTCAATGTGTGACCTATCCATTTCCAGAACTTCTTCATGATTTCCTCCTCCACTGGAATCTGGTTTGTTCTCACTCACAATAGGCTGTTGCTGATGGTGTCAGATGAAAGGATCTGAAGTATTTTGCATAGACATCTGCATCAGATCTATTGTTTTCATCAATGATGCTGCCCAGATAATCAAAGATTTTTACATTCCTCGAATCTTCTCCGTCAAGTGTGATTTGATTGGTGTATGCCGTGTTGTATCGGAGAATCTTGCTTTTTCCTTTGTGTATGTTGAGACCTGCTGCTGCTGACGCTGCTGCTACACTGGTCAATTTCTACTGCATTTGTTTATGCATGTGTGATAGACAGATCATCTGCGAAGTCTAGATCGTCCAGCTGCATCCTAGCTATCCACTGCATTCCGTGTTTCCTCCCAGATGTTGACGTCTTCATGACCCAGCCGATCACCAGGAGAAAAAGAGAGGGTGAGAGTAAACAACCTTGACTGGCACCGGTCATTACTTCAAACGAGTCTGGCAGCTGTCCTCCATGAACAATTTCGCAGTTTAATCCATCATAAGAATTCCGTGTGATGTTGACTATCTTATCAGGAACGTTGCAGCGTCGAAGAAGCCTTCATAGTGTTGTCCTGTCCACTTTATCAAATGCTTCCTCGTACTCAATAAAGTTGATGTAGAGTGATGAATTCCACAATCATCCGTAGTGTTGCGATTTGGTTGCTTCACGACAGATCCTTATAGAATTCAGTCTGTTGATCTCGAAGTTGAGCGTCTACAGAATCCTTCATTCTGTTTACCAACACCCTATTGAAGACTTCTCCTGATATTGAAAGAAGAGTGATGCCTCTGTAATTATCACACTTACTGAGGTCTTCTTTCTTCGGTATCTTGATCCGGTGTCCTTCTTTACAGTCTGTTGGTACTTCTTCCTCATCCCAAGTCTTGCTGAAGAGAATGTCGAGTATCTTTGCAGTTACTGCCACGTCTGCTTTCAATGCCTCTGCTGGAATGTTGTCTGGTTCAGCTGCTTTGTCGCTCTTGATTTGTTTGATTTCCATGCTGATATCTTCGATTGTTCATGAGCCAACTTCTGTTCGGAGGTCCGTGTGTGCGGCTTCGATGTTGGGTGTGCTCAGTGGGGTTGGTCGATTCAAGAGTTCTTTGAAGTGCTTTATCCAACTGTTTCGCTGTTCTTTATTATTGGTGATTACTTTGCCTTCCTTGCTTTTCACTAGTCGTTCCGGTTTAACGATAATTTCCAGAGAGCTTCTTTGTTGTATCATATCCCTCACTTGCACCGTTCTCCGTCGTCATTGCTAGATATTCTACATACTTACGTTTGTCGTCTCTGATGCTTCTCCTCACTTGCTTGTTTACTTCTGTGTATTCAGCTTGTGCCTTGGCTTTCACTGCTTTTGTGCGGCTGATATTGATTACCGCCTTCTTGTTCCTCCTTCCTAGAATCTTAACGTGAAGCATACTTGCAGGTACTTCTATGTCTGACTTTAGTGCTTCAGCTGGTATATTGTCAGGTCCTACTGCTTTCCCACACATCATTTGTCTGATGGCCATCCTAATTTCTCCGATCTCAGGCTGAGTGACATCTATAGGCAAGTATGTGTGTGTGCTTCTTCGATGTCCGGTGGGTTCAGTGGAACAGGTCTATTTGAGAGTTCTTCGAAGTGTTCCACCCACATGTTCCTCTTCTCTTGAATTTCAGTGGTTGATTTGTCTTCTTTGTCCTTGACTGGTCTCTCTGGTTTACTATATATCCTTATCAGTTTATTCGTCGTTTCATATAGTTGTTTCATATTTCCTTCTCTTGCATCGTTCACCACTATCGTTGCCAGCTCTTCCACGTATTTCTGCTTATCAGCTCTAATGCTCCTCTTCACTTAATCGCCTTGATCTTCTCTGTTCTCGTTCGGCTGTTGTTAATTGCTGTCTCTTTTTCCGCCTTTCTTGAATCGCATCTAGTGTATCAACAGTAATCTATTCCTTGTGATGGTGCTTCTTGTGGCCCAGAACCTCATGACATGTTTAAGTGATTGTCTCCATGATTCTCTTTCAGTTGTTCTACATAGTATATCCCTCTCTATTAAGTAGATCGTGAAACGCCTGGAACCTATTTCTGAGGCCTATCTTGAATTCGTTGGGTCTGACAGTATCTCGAAGAAAGACCGTATTAAACTTTCTTGATGTTGTCCGCTCCGTTGTCCTGTGCTTCTTGAGCTTTACTTTCATCTTGGCGACCAGAAAGTAATAATCTGAGGCTATATCACCTCTTCTCATGGTTCTCACGTTCTTCATCCTTCTGAAAGTTTTATTGGTACAGATATGATCGATTCGGTTTAGTGTAGTGTGATCCGGTGAAATCCATATGGCTTTGTGGATGCGTTTATGTGGGAATATGGTGCCATCTATGACCAGTTTGTTGAAGGTACATAAGTTTGCAAATCTCTCACCAATTTTGTTCCTTTCTCATAGTCTATATCGTCCCATAATGTCTTCATATCCGGTGTTGTTCATTCCAACCTTGGCACTTAAGTCTCCCATCAGAATGGTCAAATCCTTTTTGAGCATTTCTCAACGATTGACTGCAGCCTATTGTAGAATTGATCTTTAAGGTATTCATTGTAGTCGTTCGTAGGCCCATAGCAATCGATGGCATTCATTATAATGCACTCTTCCTGCGTTCTGAAGGAAGCTTTAATGATCCTAGGTCCATGAGATTCATTATTGTTTCTAACTGCCCAAAATCACTAAATTTCGTACATGAAACGCTATATTACATTACAATTGATGTTCTTGTGGTTTACAAAGTCACCCATAGAATACCATCGCACATGTTCTGTGCCTCAAAAATCTATTCGTTTCATATCATGAAAAGTATGGCCATGCATATCAGTAAGTTCATATTTTATGCACATAAATTGTACTCAATTACTTTGACGTTCTACTTGAAAATGCATGTAATTTTAATCCTCCCAGTTGCATTCAATTTCAGTTTTATCATTCACTTCTTACCTAATCTGTTTAAGTCATTGAATCATCTAATTATACGTGCATCCATTTTACGAATTATATATTGTTATCATTAAGGAAAACACTGAGATCCATAGTTAAGCTGATCAACTATCATTTACCTACTACTATACTACATACTAATGAAGAACTATAACTCAAAAAACTCACTTGAACAGAATACATCTTAATTTAATTTACATTTGATCAAGTACACATCATAATGGATAACACATTCATTGTGATTAATCATGAATTGAAATGTGATTAATTAATTAACGAAGTTCCATTTATTGATTAAATACAACTGAGATAATCTTATTGACTTACATGTCTCTTTGACATAGTCAAGAGATGAACACTGTGTAAATCAAAGAAATTATCCACATGTTCCATGTACTCGGATAAGTTATGAAACTGAGCCTCCCAAATTAACTACAAAAAAAGTACATGTGCAAGACGTGATCATTAGAACTTTCAATTTCGAAAATATTAAACTATAGTTGTCAATGACAAGATGCTCTAACTCAACCCCCTTACATTTTCATAAACTTTATTCTTCATGAAGTATTTACACCATAACGTTTAAACTAGATATTCCTACCCAATTTCTATAGCAAAGTCAGCTGGCGAACTGACCCTTGATACACTATTCTCTCATATGAATTTCGTTTAACTTCAAATCTATTTGACAAAGATCATTGAAAACATTGAAGATTCAACCAACACAAGAAACTTCAAACTGAGTATGCAGAAAGACAAACCCCACTAATCGAATACTCACTTATAGCAGCGAAAATGTACTGACGCAAAAATATGATATTTACAAAAACCATTCAAAACAGTAAAGATATTAAAGCATCACAGGGAAAAGAAACTGAATGCATTTCGGAAAAATGGTCTGATACAAAACATCAACAAGGTATGCTCGTTAAACATAACGTCAAATGAGAAAAAAAGAATTCAGCAAAGAAAATTTTCTTTTCGACGAAATCATTTACTTGAGCTGTACATTCGTATATATAGTTATGGGTTATTTTATTAACGTCAAATACAAAATCAGTACTAAACATCAGCAAAGGGGGAAATTCTACTCTATCCGAAGAACATCTGCAAGATCACGAACAGGTTTGTAGGACTATAAGAAGTAAGTACAGCCTATAAGCAGGTACAATATTTATTATAAAAACCCACGGCTATAATGACAAATAAAAGCAAGGGAAACATTATACACATGAGAAACTGCGACAAATACGACACAGTGAAAAGCGGTCACACTTTCAGTCCATTCCTGTATGAGCATTGGTTAGCCGTTATTTGCCTTGACGTACATGTGCTTATATAAATGCTTGTGGATAACTTTTAGCGTACATTAAATTGGGGAAATGTCCGAACTTCGACAGAAGAAGCACAAAAATCTCAGGAGAATTTAAAAAGCCTGAGACTTTATTCAATTAGCAGGTGTATCGAAATCAACCGAATCTACCAACCAGTATTCTATTGAGCAGAATGATAATGGTTTCTGAATGACCAGCCCAGTTATCAAAAGTATTTTAATCCAAAGACAAAACTGGAAACGTGTCTTTCATTCTCAACAGTCACTGTTTAGATTCTGAACAATTAAGTGCATCATACTATATTCTGACAACGTATATGAACAAACACTAACCTTATCAGTACGCCTGATATGCACGCCAACAACAGGATCACCACTCGTTTTAAAGCTCTTCAAGGTTACATTGATTAATTGTGCTAAGTGTGGCTTTGGACGCAAAATGTAGGCCGCTAGCTGACCAGCAAACCAAACAAAGGGTGCTTCATGTAAACGTAATAATTCTTTATTCATATCTATCGGGAGAACATGTGGCAACCAGTTGTGTTCTTTGTGAACCTTTACAATCCAAGGACAATTGATGCTATCTGAAGTAAACAAGAGAATGAAAATATTGTTTTATGCTGCCTACCAACCAACCATAATAACTGTTTTGTAAGGCGGAAGCTTACTCAGTCGTAAAAAGCGATTGAATAAGATTTTATCCATATTAAGAGGAGCAATGGAACATGAAATATTACCAATAATAAGGTTCGTTTACCCGTTCTTTCACGTAGATAGTAAAAATCGTTATGTTATTTCATGAGTTCTAGCCATACTGTATTTACATGTGTTTTGTCAAAAAACAATTGAAAATATTCAACTAAACAGTTCAACACAATCACTGGGATCTGACATTTACAACAAACTAATGATAAATACATCGTTTACACACCTGATCTTTTATCTGAGTCCAAATAACTGCATTTGTCAGAAAGTGGTAACATGTTCTGATGAAGCCATTCTCGAAATATATCTCCAGGATGATGTTTCTTCAATACTAAAACACGCTCATTTTCAAGAGCCAATTGTAAGCAGTATATGAGTTGATGCATACAACAACCCAATCCACACAAATTAGTGAAGTCAAATGTTACATATTTGGTCATTTTACAATCTGACGGATTCTATATGTATATGATCAAAAGGTAAATTCCAAATTTTTGATTTAATAATAGTAAGAATCAAACACAATGTAAAATTTATTAACAACAATTTCATAGATATAATCACTATAATGATTTTAAGGCTGGTGACGTTCGTCATTAATTTACATCTGATACATTTCGGATTATATTTAACGAAAACATTCTGATCCTGCGGTTATTGTCCGACTTGATAAAATCTGATAATCTATTGAATATCAGTTGAAACCTATTTCAAAGTGACTTGATCGACTAACAACATGACTATAGTGAACTATTTAATACAGGTTTGGATAATCTCAACTAAATAAGAATCGATATTGTTGATATGCAGATATATATGGTGGTGATGATTGAATCATTTACTTCATGTCGTACCATACTGATACAAAAAGTCAACGAAATCGAAAATTTTAAAGTATTTGTGTCTCAGTTGTCAATCGACAGATTGTCGTATAAGTGACAGTGTAGTGAACGAGAACACAAATGGGGACAACCTAATGAATTCGAATTTATGTTTCACTTTTCAATCGACAGATGGTCACATAGATTACAGTGCACAATGGTTGGTTGTTGGTTTAGACAGAATCATAGATAGTCAGTGTAGGAAGTAATTTCCTACAGGTGTAACTCTAAGCTATTCTCTAGACTTTCGAGCATAGTCTTGGTTTAACCAAAGTCAGAACAAGGAAGCTGTTTGGCTTGATAAACTTTATCTGTTTTTTAAAACATAAATTAACACTGTTAGTATACAAAATAAACAACACAGGGAAAAACAGAGACATAAATAACATACCGAACAGTAGCTAGAGGATAGAAAAAATGAGTCAACAATGCAAATATTAGTTTAGGGGTTGTGGAGATTGTTAAGTTTTTGATTGAAATCATGAGTCACTTGAAGTTAGATTTCGTGGATTGGTTAAAGTTAGACATTAACATCATTGGATGCCGGCCGGCTCAGTGGTCTAGTTGGTTAAGCGACTGGAGCGAGACTGATAGGTCCTGAGTTCGAGTCTCGCGGGGTGCGGGATCGTGGATATGCACTGCTGAGGAGTTCCGTACTAGGACGAAATGGCCGTCAAATGCTTCCAGGTTTTCCATGGTGCTCTAGCTTCAATTGACTCATGATTTCAATCAAAAAAGACAAATATTGTTTCATAATGAACATAAAATTGTGATTGATGAGTAAACAAGATAGTCATACAAGGTCAAAGAAAGTTAATGTGGTGCTGGGCGTTTCACTTTATCATTGGTGAGTTCGTTTATCGATCACACCTTATAGTCATCTGCTCACTAGTGACTGACTTCAAGAGATACTCATGGAGTTCTGGTGAGAAGCCGTTACCAGTGGAGTTCAACCAGGTCCGTTGTGAGATATCAACTCACTGAAGACAATAATGTACGGTGGGGCAACTTCGTGGATTGGTTGAAGTTAGACATTAACATCATTGGATGCCGGCCGGCTCAGTGGTCTAGTTGGTTAAGCGACTGGAGCGAGACTGGTAGGTCCTGGGTCCGAATCTCGCGGGGTGCGGGATCGTGGATACGCACTGCTGAGGAGTCCCACTCTAGGACGAAACGGTGGTCGAGTGCTTCCAGGTTTTCCATGGTGGTCTAGCTTCAATTGGCTCATGATTCCAATCAGTGAGATAGATATTATGTTTTTCATATATATTTTCCTACCCTTTGTATTTACGGATAGTTCAATAAAATACGTGTTATTCAGGTGAATGACGTGATCTCGATTTCAGTTGCGTTGACTTTTGGTGAATGAGCTGTTGGGCTGGAACCTAGTAAAGAACAAGTCAATTGTATATTCACTGCTCATCCTATGCAAAAAGTGTCCCATAAGTATTTCAGGACAAATGGAACGTCCTTTCGCGGGTCTTATTTAATGCCGTACTTTTGTAGAAATTAATTCGATCAATCAACCACTTCTTTTTACAAGTGATAAAGAAGTAATAAATTCTAACCTGTTGTTTTTGAATCTTCTCCTGTAATCGCTGTGAAAGCCTATTTAAGCCATTCTTTCTGATTTGTGAAAATTCATCTAATTCACCTAGTTTGTTAAGAATAAGTTGCAAGTGTAAAATAGTTTCCTCTATATTCTGTCGATAACGAACTAACGATGCTTGTATCGATGAAACTGTTTCAGTGTCCAACTCCTTTTGATTAACTTTTTTTAATTGGGTAAAAATGTTGCGTAAATTTTTCAAAGTGTATCGTGCTTCATCAATGTAATTTAAAGCACGACGTCTAAGTGATTCATGAGAAATACCGATCCGATCTACATCTAGAATAAAAACATTAAAGTTAAATATTTCACCTTATCATCATTATTATTACACAATACAAACTGAGCATTTCGGTGAGACTATAATTTATGGACGAACCAATCAGATATGAGACAATAGGTCTCAGATAACCCTCATTTGGTACCAGTTATTAGGCGGACATTCAATGTCACTCTAGTATCGTTCAAAGTTCGTCCACAAATTATAATCTCACCACCATTTCCATTCTATAGTTCATTTATAACAATTTATATTCATTCATTTGCAAATGGCTAGTTTGTAACTTATCGTATATAAATCAAATGACAAATAACTGGCATATCATATGAGTATTCAAGGATGTGAGAAATAATGCCAACGTTGTTTACGTAGTTAGCATGTAACGCCACGAATTGGGTACAATAGAAATTCATAATTGACATTATCATTTGCCGAGTCAAGTTAGTTCCCAGTTGAACTTTTTGCATAAAATTACTTTCACTTTTACTTAAATGTAAATACGGATAGGAAATATTGACAGTAAGGACGTACTGTAAAATAATTAATATATTTTTGCAATATTCTAATGAATAGAAAGTCAGTCAGTAACAACGTAGAACTTCGCACGTACGTACATCAGTTTGAGTTGTCATACCACATCAACACGCAGATGCAATTGTCGATTCAAATCCCATTGTGGTAGAGGTAGTAAGAGTATAAGCAGTAATCGGAAACATTAGGGTTTGCAGATGTTATTTAAAGAGTATAATCCAGTGAAATAAATTTGGGAAGAGAAAAAAAGAGACAAGGAGGAATCAGAAGATTAGAATTTAAGAGAACTCAAAGAGTGGACACTATTGCAAACCATTTTGAGCCATGTCATTCAGGGTCTCTAACCATCGGTCGCTATAATCTCGCGGTCCCCAACCAGGTAGTCTACACCTATCAACATGACTCAGTCCACTTGTCAGTGACTTCATGGACTTGTGCCATTTGTGGCATTTTTGAAGTTTCGTTTTAAAATTAAACTAATTTTACTTCAGTTATTTATTTACTCTGAAGAAGGGACTTTGTTTAAGTCACGAAACTCCAGAAAAATAATTTCCTACTCATAAGAATATCACAAATATTGTTAGGATTTCCCTTATTACGAGTGAATTACTCTTATTGTTTAGTATTCTTAGACACTAACTACATCACTCGACAACTTTCCGAATCAGAACACGTCTGAACAGGAACGTAATGATATTTCAAATAAAAATGTTAAATGGAATTATCATAATAATATGTTTATAGTTCTTACGTAAGATTCTAGAGTCTTCTCCGAGTACCTACTAGACCTGGTTGGAATGGAAATAGCCAATTAGCATGCCCCAAAACAACTCTGAACGGAACATACTTTAACCCAAACTATATGCCACTAGCAAATATACATATTATTGAGGTTCTACAGAATGCTCAATTTGTTTGAAACCCCTAAGTTATACCTTGGCACTGACATCATAAAATCAGCTTGAAGTCATTATGGATTTATTAGGTATACATCTGAATGAGATTACAGATGAGATAATGTGGCTTTGACTAAGTTGTTCGAAAATGATTTGCAAACAGTTGTACTAGTAATCATTATTCCTGAACGGCTTCTCAATACGTATATGCATCTGTTTATTAAGTGAGCTGATCTACTTTAATGCAGATAAATTTACTTAACTGAGTGAATAATTATTAACAAAAATGTAGTTTGGAATGTGAACAGCTTAGTTTTTGATCACTTAGTTCATTCAAGGTACTTCATTATTCTTATAGAAAATTTCTATTTTACGTAAGTTATTCAATTCATTTTCTGCAACACATAATCCAGCATTATTCATTCGATCTAATATGTAACTACATTATTAATTCACATTCTGACATTACCCATACTTATAAAGATTGTCAGTGAGACAATTTCATTTTGTCTATGATCTCCACTGAATGTTAATCCTTTCAAAAACTATTAAAGTTAACTTTGAACGTAGGTCACTTCACCTGGAACCCCTCTGATGCTTCAAACGATACCAAACCCAGATGAAGGAGGAGGGTTGTGCAAGGGGTTAGGTACCTCATCCCGTAGAAAACTAACCCACTAAAAAACACTAACCAGAAGACATAGTTCAAACCATTTAAACTCTGCCATGAAAGTTAGAATGTCTTCATTTAGAAGAGTTATGACGCCTCATGGTGAAATCCGAGATTTTTCGAAAGTCATGAGGCTTTTGCCCCTTCTGACAACCAGATCAGCTATTAATTTAGGTACATGGAATTCCGGGAGTCATCCAAGTTGCTACTGAAATGAAAAGATACAACCTGGATGTGTTTGGAACTAGTGAAGGATGTTGTATGTAAGTTGGACAACAGAGACTAGCTTCAAGCAACCTGCTGTTATACTCCGTCCATGAAGAAGAAAATGTTCCACCTACACAAGGCGTTGCACTGATGCTATCCAAACAAGCACAAAACGAACTTATAGTATGGGAATCTCATGGACCGAGAATAATCAAAGCCTTCTTTAAAACAAAGAAAAAGCGCACTACATTGAACATCATCCAGTGCTATACACCTACCAACGACTACAACGAAGAGGTTAAATACCAATTCTACGATAGACTGCAGTCAATCGTTGAGAAACGCCCAACTAGGGACTCGACAATTCGGATGGGAGACCTATATGCCAAGATTAGAATGGAAAATATCGGATATGAAGACATAATGGGACGACATGGACTGGAAGAAAGGAACCAAAATGGTGTGAGATTTGCAAACACATGTGCACTATATTCCCACATAAACACATAGACAAATCCACATGGACATTACCCAGTCATACTACGCAGAACCAAATCGACCATATCTGCATTAACAAAGTGTTCAGGAGGACGATGGAGGGTGTGAGAACCAGGAGAGGAGCTGATGTAGCATCAGGTCGTCAGCTGATGGTCGCCAAAATAAAACTGAAACCCACTGAGCACTGGAAAATGAAGAGGACAAAATCACAAAAGTTCAATACGGCCTTTCTTCAGGCTACTGACAAACTCAATGAATTTAAGGTAACCCTCAGCAACAGTTTCCAGGCCTTTCACGATCTACTTAATGGAAAGAGAACTATCATAAAGAACAATTGGAAGAGGAACAATGAGGCAACCACCTCAACATGTCATGAGGTTCCGCGTCACAAGAAGCACCATCACAAGGAATGGATCACTGTGACTACACTAGATTGGGTTCAAGAAAGGAGGAACAAGAATCACCAATTAATAACAGCCACACAAGAGAAGAGAAATCTAAGGCACAAGCTGAATATACAAAAGTAAACAAGGAAGTGAATAGGAGCATCATGTGTGGAAGATCAAAGAATAATGGCGGAAAAAGCCGCAAGAGAAATAAACACGGGATAATTGCATGATGCAACAAAGAAACTCGATGGAAAATATCGTAAGCCAGAACAACCAGAGCAAGGAAGGCACGGTAATCACCATCATTGAAGAACAACGAAACAGGTGGGCAGAACAATTCAAACTCTTGAATCCACTAGCCCCACTGAACCAACCCACAGATCTCCCAATTAATGTTGACCCATCATCCCTTAATGAGATCAGCAGGGCCAGCCAACATTCCAGCAGAGGCACTGAAGGCAGAGTTAGCAGTAACTGCAAAGATATTCCACATTCTCCTCAGTGAGATTTGGAATGAAGAAAAAGCGAGCGTGAGAACTACAGAGACATTGCTTCTCTCTCAATACCAGCAAGTCAACAACAGAATGAAGAACTCCGTAGACGCCCAACATCTAGACCAACAGGCTAATGTCCGTAAGAATCGGTCACGTACCGGCCAGATCGCAACATTAAGGATTATCGTGGAACAATTAACTGAATTTATTTCATCACTCTACATCAACTCCATTGACTACGAGGAAGCACTTGATAGAGTGGACTGGACAACACTACGAAGGCGTCTTCGATACCACGGCGCACCCGAAAAGATATTCAACATCATATGGAATTATTATGATGGATTAAACTGCTAAATCGTGCATGGAGGATAGCTCGCAGACTCGTTCGAGTTAAAGACCAGTGTCAGGCAAGGTTGCTTACTCCAAAACCCTTTTTTTCTCCTGAATTATGAAAACATCAACATTTGGGGTAAGCACCAGATATAGTGCACAGATGAGATGCGGCTGGACGATTTGGACTTCGCAGAGGACCTGACCAGTGTAGCAGCAGTGCCAGCAGCAATACGTCTCAACATACAAGAAGGAGAAAACAAGACTCTTATACAAAACAATACGCATCAATCAAATCACTTGACGGCGAAGTTTTCGAGGATGTAGAAACCTTTGCACATCTGGGCAGCATCATTGATGAACACGGTAGATCTTATGCAGATGTGGTGTGGATCGGCAAAGCAAGAAAAGCATATCTAAAATTGAAGAACATCCAGATCTCAAAACAATTTTCAACCAACACTGACTTCAGAATTATCAATACAAATGTGAAGACAGTTCTGCTACATGGAGCGGAAACCTGGGAAACTAAGAAAGCCATCACCCAGAAGATAAAAGTGTCTATTAACAGTCGTCTAAGCAAAATACCTTGAACCCGTTGGCCAGTCACTATCAGCAACAACCTACTGTGGGAGAGAACAAACCAAATTTCGGCTGCGATGAAATCAGGAAAGCATGCAACTGCGTGGAAATGCAAGCCCTCACTTGGAATCCTCAAGGCCAAAGGAGAAAAGGAAAACCAAGCAACACATCACGCTGGGAAATAGAGAAGATTGAACGACTATTGCATAGAACTAAAAAGGAAGGCCCAGAGTGGGTTGGAGAATGCTGCTCGATGGCCTATGCTGCACTACGAGTAACTGACATAAGTAAGCAGGTAAGTAAGACATTAGTCAAACATTTCTGAAAGCTTGTTTTCTTTCCGTACATATAGATGCCTTGATCGACACAGAAACCTAATAAGTTGAGATATGTAACCAATTTATATATTTCTTGGATAGATCTTTATTTTCAACTCAAACTTTGATTATGTGGCTAGACGCCTGGATAGATTTGACATCACGGTATAATTTATTTTGACATTTGTCTCCCTTAGTTAATGAACTTTAACCCATTTCCAATCTAACTTCATTCTGTACATAAAAGTGCATGGAGATGATATCATTGTTCTGATGAATAAATTTGAATTTATTTTCCATCTGTTTACCTGATCATCTCTCCCATCCTATATCTTTTGCTTAGTTAAGGAATCAAATTGTGTTCCGAATCAAAACATACTTGACAATATCTAGTGATGTTGAGGAGGCTATATATCCAGAACTGATCCAGTAAATGTCTTGTTTTTGTGATTTACTTTTGAAAAGTTGAATTTCTTGTTGTCGCGTCAAAAGCGTTCATTTACATATCCATATCGTATCTCCCGTCTGGGAGAATCTTAAGTTTTATTGGCTCGTTGTCTCTTTTAACATTCTATTTTGTAACGTTTCTAAAAGATATCTTTATGTGGTATATATTCGCTTGAGCTGTACTTGTTGCTTGTGCTTGTGGAAAATTTTCCCCTCTTTTGAACCTGGACTCCTCTTTCTAGTTAGCGAGACAGGTTAGCAGGTACAGCGAACTCTTAATCTAATGAAACATCGCAAGTAATTTAACAGCAATGTTGTCATAAATAGGAGGTAATTTCTTTCACATTTTAATAAAAACGCTGAGGTTATAAGAATATGTAAACACTAATAAGCAGAATATTATACGTTGATTAGCGAGAGAGTTCATTCAGAAAATACTCACACAGATCATGATACCGTGTAGTGAAAAAAATACATCCGAAGTTCAGTGGTTCTCGTTGTATCTACCATAAGTCTCTGTCAACTCACAAGATTGATATTCAACACTGAACCAACTAAATTCATACTCAAACGAAAATAAACGAAGGTATCATCTGTGACAAAAGTTTGAAGTTGATGTAAAGGACAGTGAATAACTCATTAATTACCGGTATTTGACTAAACAAAAAAGATTAAGAATCGCGGTTAAATATTTACCTATTCTTCCGAACACAGAGGAAGTATTTTCATTCGTTTACTTAGATCAAATGAGTGAATCACCTAAGTGATTGATATCTTGGATTTCATTACAATAAAATGTGTTAAGATGTTTTCATAATCTTTCATGCCATTTTGTCATCCATCTGATCAGTGTGTAAATTTACATGTTTAACATGATACAATATATTTGCCATCATGTGAGATGAATAAAAATTACATATTTTGTTAGACAATGTATAATCCAGATTAGAAATGTTCAAATCTTCTCAGTATTTCACTACCTATTTCTCAAACATTTAAACTACAAACTATAAATCATTCAAAAATTTACTTGTTTCAACTTCAAGTGATTTACTTTAATGCATTGTTTAAAAAAGGGCTAGAAGGCGCTCAGTAACAGGAGATCAACGCAGAGATAATTGCTGCACCTATTTCACTTATACACGTATGCAGATATATTTCGCATCTTTAGGAGAGTAAGAAGAACTTGTAGAGATAGTGTATCATGAACGTCCAATATTCTACAGAACACAGTGATGAATAAAGCCACTATCATTCTTTTTATTACAACTATTATTGAATAATGAGCAATAAAACCTACTTGTCATCTGATCCTTCTTGTTTGTTCTGATCGAAGTACTTTCACTGAAACAGAAAAGTTAAAAGTTCCCTAGTATTATCTAATAAAAGTTGGATTTTGTATAAATGTTGTTATGGTGATGTTATTTGTTCTGTTGAAGTATATTTTCCTGAACTACATCGTTTAATAGAATAGTACGGACAACTAACAATACATAAGTAAGAAATTAAATAAACGGAAGTATACACATAATTAATGTCCATTCGTACTATGAATACATCGTTCAATACTTTCTTTTTGCTATCAATCAACCTATGGTGTTTTTTAAACAACCAAGGAGTCTCAAAAGTAGGAATTCAATTACAAAATCAGATTAGTCACATTGGAAGTGATGGTTAATAATTAATATAGATTTATGGATAGTGGATTGTCTTGGCAATTTCTAATATGTGTACAACATCCGACAGTTTGGGCGTCAACACTTTTACACATCCAAACAAAGTTCAAAAACACTCCCAGTAAAGATACTTTTACTGGATATCCCGAAAAGAATAGTTAATTAAACTCACAGGTACCATGATGATAGCATTATTGACACAGGCTTGGATAACTAACTAAATATCAAATGATGAATTATAGAGTAAAGATGTAAGCAAATACTTAATTAGCTACTCTGTCCTCAACAAACTACATATTGGAAGACTAAATATCGAAAAGTAAACCTATTTTGCGCAACAGCTTTATCCAGTTGATAACGAAGGCCACTTCTTTGCTCACTCCATCGCGAAGAACTCTTTTAAAAAGTATTCAAAATTCCAGATGTTCTTAAACAGATTCAGATTTGATAAGAATAATATACAAAAGTGATATTTCTACTCACATGAGGTCAAATAATCTACGAAGATGAGAAATCTCAGCTGAGACCCAATCCACTGCCTCTCTCGAAGCTGATACGTTATTATTCAGGCTTTCCCAGCACAAATCTTTTTTCGAGGATGTCTTCTTTCTAAAGTAATCTCCGATACAAATCATCAAAAGTGGTAAAAGGGGTAACCATATAACTACGGAGAAATTGAATTCATGTCTTGAATGTCTGCAAGAACGAATGAACAGACTGCGGAAATATCTTACCGCATGACTTCGTATTTTGGCCCTCGAAAATTTCCGTGCTTCTCTCCTCCAATACTCTAAGATGAAATTGAAACCCTCCTTGAAATAGGTTGTTATGTGGCGTCGAGTCGCGTTTGACTATGATCACCACTACAGGAAGACTACGTGCCAGTTAACCTATAAGATCCTCCGTAAGCCAAATATCAGAAAGCAGTTGATGTATGTAGTCAAGATGTATTTGTTGGCGATCTCGTGGTATCGGAAGAATACAGAGATCGTGTCAAAGGGGTACAAGTGCGGTTATCGAGTATAATCGAATTCGTGCAAGGTCACAACTAAAAGGTCACAACTGAAAAATGTATGCATTTTGGTACAGTTAAACAAACAAGTACGGTAAAACAATCTTGGTTACGATTGGTTATGATAATAAGTGTTTCCACAACACTAATCGCGTTCTCTTGTTAAAAGTAGGTCACTGCAGGGTAAACAAGAAGAGAAAACCATACAAAAAACCCGGAACTTGTATATTTTCATTATGTTTTACCCATCAACGAAGAAGTTAAAAGAGGCATTCGCAGTCAAAATAGTAGCGTGCTGCATTTTATATAGCAGTGCTTATGTCGCAACACTATCAAAGTTTTTACCAATGAATAGTTACATATATGCGACGTGGTTGGTTGAAGTTGCCACTCCTCATTAATACAGATAGATCTGTGAGGAGAAAAGAGTGAATGCATATGAGTCACTACAAAGGGTTTTGATCCATGTCAGTCTTCAGTAATAAGGATAGGAGGTCTATTGACCTATGTTAATCCTTGCAATTTGTAATATTGTCGAGGTCCAATCTCGTTTTGAATATATCAACAGAAGGTGCTGATATTAAGTGTTCCGGGAGAGAATTCACTACTCGGTGTGAGAAACGAAACTCCAGACGTAAACGATTTGATCTTGGTTTTTTGAACATTCTTCGGATATCGTCTCAAATGATCAGTCCTAGACGGAAGTAAAAGATAAGACATGTTAATAATAAGGTCATCGTTGAGTATACTATAAGCCAATATTAGATCACCCCACACTCTACGGTAAGATAATGGAAATAAGTTAAGGTGTGTCAGTCTGTCTTCATAAGATAGATCAGATAGACCCTTTACCATCTTAGTACCTCATCGTTAGACTCTTTCCATCATCTCTGCTTCATACTTGAAACAAGGACTTCCTGATTGAATCCCATATTCCAAATATGGTCGCACATAAATCGGGTATAATAATCTAAATATTTCATCATCTAAATACTGAAAAGACCCACGAATAGACCATAATACCCTATAGCCTTTTGCAGCAGCAGCCTGACAGTGACTAGTGGTTTTGAGATCACTGCTTAATATGACTCCTAAATCTTTATAGTTTCTTACTTTGGGTAGCACAAATCCACATATTATATAGTGATACAGTACATCATAGTTATTTATCTTCATTAGTACACTTTTATTAGAACTTACTTCTAGTGACCACCTGTTCAACGATGCCACTAATGAGCTAAGATCATTCTGTAATACTATCCTATCCGACATACTGTGTATGGGTCTCCAACTTTTCATGTCATCAGAGAAGAGTAGAACGGATGATTTTGCTACAGTTGGTAATTCATTTATATAAAGTAAAAAGAGAAGTGGATCGAGGATTGTACCTTTGAGAAATTCCACATTTTACAGGTACCCACGAGGAGAGAGCCCCATTTACCCTCAATTTTTGTCTGCTGTCATGCAGGAAGTTACTTATCCAATCTAAGACTGTAAAATGGATTCCAAAACGTTCCAGTTTAAATTTAAGGCCAGAGTGGAAGACCTTATCAAAGGCCTTACTTAGATCTATGAAGATCACATCCACAGAAATATTGTGATCTTTTTCAGCAGCCAAATCTTCTCTTGCAATGAGAAAATTTGTCAAGCATGATAGGCCTTTCCGAAAACCATGTTCTTCCCTGGAGAAAAGATTATACCCTTCAACATAATTTATAACAGATATCCGAATGATTTTTTCCATCAGTTTTACAACTGCACTAGTTAAGCTAACGGGCCTATAGTTACTAACTAAATCTCTACTTCCAGCCTTATACACCGGACTTATTATAGCTTCTTCCCAGCCTCTGAGCAGTCTGGACTGCCTTAGAGACATGTCAAATAGTGTCGCTAATGGTTCAGAAATTTCATCTGATATGGCTCTCATAATCCTAGGATGAATATCATCAGGACCACTGGACTTATCAAGTTTGAGATGCTGAAGTAGCCTTAAAGCAGTACCTTTCTTAATTACTACAGGGTCTATCAGAGAGCCGCTGCGATCACAATGAATCTTTGGTCGTTCCTCATTACCGATAGAAAACACTTTACTGAAATATTCCGATAAAGCTTCAGCTTTTTCGGCATCATTTTCTGCCAAGATTAATGGATTTTCTTGTATCAAAAGTGATGGAATTCCATCACTTCTCTGAGTTCGCCTTTTCAAATACTAGTATAACCATTTCGGACTATATCTAGAATCCCTAACCAATTGTTTTTCATATGATCATCTAGTCTTACTTATTAACGCTTTACAGGCATTCATAATCTTACAATAACTGGATCTGTATTGTTCTCAGCCAGCAGAGATGAACATATTCCAGTGCTTCTTATTTTTTCCAAGAAGTTTCCTGACCGTTTGAGTTATCCATTGTGGACTGTTATTCGGTTTTCGCGGTACCAGGTATGGTAAGAACGAGGACGCAACTAAACTAAACTTACCTTTAAATACAGACCATGCTTCTTCAACTGATAAGCTAGTATTTACAAACCAATCTGTCTTTGCAGCGCATTCCTGAATATGTTAGCTCTCTATATATTTGAGCGGGGTGTAACCTGATCGTATATCATGTCCTTAGTTCTAAACGTGAATGACAAAACAGCGTGATCGTTATTCACTAACAGTGGAAGAATATTCAGATTGGCGATATTCTCAGCTTCATGAGTGATTACCAAGTCCAACAGAGAAGAACCCTGGTTTACACCAAAACGTGTGAGTTTGGATAAACTGTACTAATGCATGCTCCATTAGTGTTATTAGGAACCTATTATCAAAGGAGTTTATAGATAATAATAATATATATTTCTGCATGTGCAGGTACACACCGTTTTTACAGGCATGATCTATAAATTACAACATTTGTTGGTTCACAGAATGTTTCCCAACTTATTAAGTTTATAGTTGTTATAAAGTGAAATCGTAGAGCGCTTGCTGTAAACTATGACCTTGAGAGGACGCGTACATCAAGTTTGTTCCAAACGTCAGAGGTTTCATAGCCGTGCTCTCAGAGCAAGATTCTGAAGAAAAAAGAGAAACAGAAGAGCAGCAAGGCACTTGGATATGAACGCAAAACGTTGCTTAACATAGTGTAGTAGAACGGACAGAGGTATAATAAATTAGAATAAATTCATATTATATCTTGTTAGTGAAATGAAGTCAGAGGCTACATATTATAGAATGTACTAATAAAGAACAATGAGTTGTGATGTTTAACAAGTTGGAGTAAGCTCACATGAAGGAAAGGAAGTCAAGGCTGTTACTAGGAAAGCGGTTTATAAGAAGGGTGTGTATATAGAGGGTGAAGTGTTAAGAATATTAATGATTACATCTTTTATTGTTTAACTTTTTTTCATTTTTTTGTTTTTCCGATGCCAGCCACATAATCCTAGTGTAAAAATCCGAGTTAGCATGTTATGGGTTGTCTTAGTAGAATAGCTAATCCAGCATAATATTGGAAACATGAGTTTGAGTGGTGAGCGTAGGAAAAAAATCTATATCACAGATTGATTGAATTATTCTCAGTCATGAGGAGCCTGATACATACAAAATGTTCTGTCCCCACAAGCATGGGTGGATTGAAGTTATCGCCCTCACCATCAATGCTTGCTGGTCAGTAACTCCACCCTCCCTCCTTTTGTGATGTTAGGCTCATTTAGCATTATTTTTGTATATACGTCATTCCCCGCACAATCCTCTGTTTCAAAAACTGTTGGAAAGCACTATTTCTATAAGTACCATTTTACAAGCTTATCAGACAGTTACAAGCTATGGACTGTGGGTAAAGCATCGATGCAGTGCCTCTGTTGACTATAGTATAAAATATAGTTTGCCAATCAGAGTATAAGCGTTAAGAAGGGTATATTGTAGGATAGTTGTTTATTTAAGCAGGCGGAAAAAGTATAGAAGTATATGAGTTGTGGATATGAGAACGAGTGGAGAAATAATACTAATTGCTAGTCAACATAGTGTACTGAAGAGTAAAAAGTTAATACAGGATAAACAGGAAGAGACTCACAGTGACTTAGTGCTGATGTTATTTTCTGTTGTCCTAACCAGTTGATTGGTAACAGGCTCCATAGATGCAAGACCACTGGAAGTAGGCAGCCGATTGTGCGGTCCTCTTGACGTTTTAGGGTGGTAGTGAGTGTCCCTTATCGACCGAGTTTATTTTAACAGTAATGATAGGTCCATTGAGTTACCTGTCTACTTCAAGTTAAGAAATGGGGTGGAAAAAGTAATTAATACAACTGCAAAGTAGGAAAAATAAGGCAAACTGAACTTGAAGTCCATTTTGGTCTAGACATGGAGAGAGCCTATGATGTCTGAGTGGGGTGCAGATGTGTTCGTACGTGCAAGATTAGTGCAAGTGAGGGATTGATCAAGCAGTTTTACAAACGTATGTAATTCATCTGCCATGCGAGTTTCGGAGGGAAGACTGTTCCATATTATTGCATACTTGGTGAGGAAGAAGTTTTCCCGAGTTTTTGATCTGTATTTCTCAACTTTGACCGTAGATACTTTGTTTCGAAGTCCGTATTCATGTGAATCTCGGGCAGGAATTATCTTACACGTTGAATAAGTAAGGTTTTTGAGTAGTTTGAAGTAGAGAATCAAATTAGACCTAAGCCTTCTCTTCCAAAGGGGTGCTATTCCTAAGATTTGGCATCGGGAACTATAGTCAATGACC